TTACGCTCACAATACTAGCATTATTAATATGAAATTCATATTAATAAAACTTCAGTAATATTACACATATCTATTTCTTTCATATTCTTTCTTTTAAAAGACAAAAATTAATTATTAAAATAATTTATTTACTTTTATTTATGTTTATCTATTTTCATAGTATTGTCTTTTTATATTGTTTTAGAGTTAAAGTAGTCAATCAAAAGTTTTCTTGATAGTGTACTTTTATTAGTAGTATAGATATAGATATAGATTAGAAACCATTTTATTTGTATCGATTAACAATGCTACGAATATGTTTAGTCTCACATTAAATTATTTATCACAACTTAACTTTTTAAATTTGTTCAACCAATTGTTTTTAATTAAATGACCAGCACAACTTAAAATAGTTCGCTTCCGTATTTTTTATGATTTAATAAGTGTCTACGATACTTTTTAGTTACATATACCCACATACTATACAATATATTTGTACTATACTTTTTTATTTACTATGATGTTGCAAATAAAATTAATCTAAATAATTAACTTCACGTGAAAAGTTCTAAAATTTAAGGATAGAGGTTTACAAGAAAGTAATTCATCAAAACTTAAGAGAAAATAAAAAAATAAAAACTAATATTCGTTATGAAAATATGTAGTAATATATATATTACAAATTACACAAATTATATAATAGGAATATTCAAAAAGTTATATTTATAAGTAGGTATTTTCTATTATATTTATTTAATTATTTTAAAAACAAAACCATAACTCCAAAAGTTTACATACAAGGCACGTGTGCACGATCTAATAAGTTTAAAAATATCTTATTTCGATAAATTTATTTTAAAAGAACAGTACTTTGATAAATAACTCTAGTCATATGGGGCTTCCATGCCATTTTTCATTAGAGAAATTAACGGATTTGGACGGATTGAATCAAACTAAAAAATCAAAATAAAATGTGATTTTAAAGTTTTTTTTTTAGTAAAAATTGAGGGTGAGTCCCCTAGATGGACTTATAATGATTTAAGTCATAGAAGGAAACTTATTTGAGGGAAAGTCCGAGTTTAAACTTATATGTAGGTACTTAAGTCCACTTATTTTTTAAATCTCAAAATTACTCCTAACGATGTTAGTTTTGTCCAATTATAGAAAGTCAAAATTATTGAGGTATATATGAAAACTCTTGATTGAGTTATATATAGAAACCGTTTATTAAATATTATGATAATTAATAGAAGTTTTATATTTTGATAGTGATATATAAGAAGCTTAATGTACAAATAAATTGTTGATCTATTAAGTCAAAATCAGATCACAAAATTTTCTTAAAAACAGTAATGCTTAATATAGGGAGACTGAATAATGTCAACAGATTTCAGTAACATGAATGTTAATATATAGTAACATTCATGTTAATATATGATTGAAGTTACAATTAGGGTCGTGTTACTATACTAACACTAATGTTACTTAGTGAATTTTAACATACAATTACAAATTTTGAGACGTATATTATGTAACATACACTTTAATATTCACAGTAACATCAAAGTTTTGTGCTCACTAATATATTTAATTTTACAAAATACAAGACAATAGTTTTTTTTACAGTAACATCAAATTTCGAATGATTTTAGTGAAAATATGATCCACAACACACAATCGATAGTTGAATTACGAAACTCAACACCAATTGTGAACATCAAGATATCAAAATTATGAACTTCATTTTTTGGTTCATGTACAGTAACATGAACTTTTTTCACAGAAATACAATCAAGGAATATTCGAATGTCTTGCGCAACAAAAAAATTCAACAAAATTAAAATTTATAACACTTTAATTTAGTACAATGTATGAGTTCTCTTGAATCTTGGTTACAAGGTTAATGCTCACTTTGACAAAATTAAATCCCTAATTGTTATTACTTTTTTACCATGTTACTATTTTTTTGTGAGCATATTTACTATTTTTTTAGTAATCATGTTACAGTCTTTGTTAAGTATGTTACTGTTGTTATTTTTTAAATATAAATATTTTGTCAATTGAGTCCAAAGTAAACTGGAATAGTAAATTAAACTTGTATTTTATTGAATGTAATGAGTTTGAAATTTGAATATGAACGATTTTTGGTAAATGTCGGTTTCCTATTTTTTGGATAAGGAAAAATTGTGACTTGGAAGATTGTAGTCGAATTTGAAGGAGATTATGAAGGAAATGCATATGACTAGTTATTGTGTTCATAAACGTCGTTTATAACATTGCTACAGGGAAGGGTTAAATAGTAAAATTGACAAAAAATGGATTTAAAACCAAATGAGTTTCCTTGACGGACTTACCTCCAAATAAGTCTATATAGGGGGACAGAACTTCAAATTTTTTTTTTAATTTTATTTTAAAGGTAAGAGTGTCCATGGGTCAAGTCAGGCTTCAGGTAGGGATAGGCTACCCGTAGTTCAACTCGCAAGCTTATTGGGCAATCCTGCTCGTGGGTTTTTTAATATACAACTTAATTGAAAAATATTGAATATTTTTATAATTTAATATTTGTATAAATTATATTTTTGAATCAAAAGTAGTGTCAAAATGAATAAAAATAAAATAATTAATAATTTTATTTTTAATTAGGGGATGAACTATATCTAATATGAATACATTTGAACTAGGTTGACACCTACTCATTTATCTATCATTTGCACTATTCGACCATTTAAAATTTGTATGTTTAATACATGAAAAAGAAAATAATACATTATTTGTAATATCTAAATTTTTAAAACTTTAAATTTTGATATTGAAAGAATTATTTCAAAGTTTTAAATTTAATAGTCTAAAAATATAACTTCTTTACAAAGGAAGTGTGGGCAGGCAGTTTTTGGGCCGAGTATTAATGAATTTTTTGGACGGACTATTGGGTCGGATTTCGGGCCAAATAATGGACTTGAGGGCAAACATAAGCTCTCTTTTTAAGGATGTTGAGCTTGGGTTCAAGCGGGTAAACTATCGAGTCTAGTGAATTTTGAATTTATATTTTTAGTGAAAATTGGAAGTGCGTCCCTCTATATGTACTTATTTAGAGATAAGTTCGGTAAGAAAACTTATAAGGGACTAAGTCCATGTTTAAAATTATGTATAATGACTTAAGTCCACTTTTTTTTTTTAATCTCAAAAATACTCATAATAGTGTTAAATTTAGTCAAATATAGAAAGTCATATGTTAGATGTTTAAGATATATATGGTAACAGATTATTCAGTTTTTTATGGAAACCGAATATATCATAATCTAATGCTTGAATTACGACAAAATTATTAGTCTATTAATTCAATTTCAAATCAAAAGATTTCATTAACAATTCAAATTCAAATTCAAATTCAAACATTATCTTATGTCTTTTGTCCATTCCCATCCTCTCGCACTCAAAAGTGAAGAAACACACACAAACACAGACTCTCTCTCGCTTCAGCTCACAAACGAGGAAGAACAGTAAGATTTTTCTGACCGATGAACTTTGAGAGATGCGAAGAGTTTTTCATATTCAAGTGTATGACTTAAATCTCGGTAGAATTTTCTAACCAGTAGCGATTCAATGTTACTTATCGGTATTTTTTTCCTTTGTATTTTTCTGCTTAAATCTCGGTAGAATTGATTTTTTTTTCCTTTGTTTTTACTCAAATTCAATGTTACTTACCGGAATTCATATCGCGACGTTCTTTGCCGGAGTTTTTTTTTAATTTTGTTTTTGAAATTAGGTTCTAATTGTATTTTCATGTTAGTGTTCGTGTTTTATTGGAATTAGTATTGATTTTTTAAATTAAATGTTTTATGTTACTAATTCTTCTTCTATGTTACTATTCATGTTACTATTTTTGTTGAGTATGTTACTGTTTATATTACTATTATTTTGAGTATGTTACTGTTTTTGTTGAATATGTTACTACTATTATTGACCTAAATATTAATATTTAATGTTACTATTTTTTTTTAAATATTACTATTTTTGTGTTTGAGTGATACTATTTTTGTGTTTGAATTTGAGATAGATAATTATTATAAAACATGTTATTGTTTTTGTTAAATATGTTACTATTTTTGTTGAACATGTTACTATTTGTTTATGTTTAAATGTTACTTTTTTGTGTTTAAAATGATATTAATTTTTGTGTTTAAATGATTTTTTTTTTTGAATGTTACTATTTTTTTTTTAATGTTACTATATATATATATATATATATGAGAGAAAATTTTTTAATGTCAATCAAACTCTTAAGATTTATGAGTTTTTTAATTTTTAGTTTTACTTCACTTTTAAAGGAAAAAGATAATCTGGTAAAATTGATAAAAAATAGATTTTATAACAAATAAGTTTTCTTGATGGACTTAAATTCAAATAAATCTATCTAGAGAGACCGACCTCCAAATTTTTTATTTTTTTAAATTAAATAATCGAACCGTGAATAATCCGATCTATGAACACCCTATTTAAAGGTTAATCGGATCTAATAACAATAGTATTTCTAACCTTATTTTTCCGCTTGTTCTCTCTTTTTGTTGGGCCGTGAAGGGGTCAATATGGTAAATAGAGAGAAGTTCCGTTGAAAATTCTCTCTGGCTCTCTCTCTCTCCCTCGCTCTCCTTTCTACAGCTTACACACAACAAACAGTGTGTTCATCGTCTCATGGTTCGTCATTTCACTCAAATTAAATTACAAGAAGATTTATTTAAACACTTTCGATCTCTTTCCCTCTCACGAAGCAGACATTTTGCTTTCAGCTCGACCTACCTCTTCGCTGTATCAACTTGTTGACATCGATCGAGAAATCTCACCGGCCAAAAATTTGCCGAGTCACTGAAATTCGTCCAGATCAAGAGAAATGTACTCAGATTGTGAGGAATCAAAACGGAGGCCTAATCTGATTGTTATTCAGATTTGCTAACAGAGCATTGGTTGAGTTTGTTCAGATCCGTAGCTAATTTTGTAATCTGTGAAAAGAAGAGGATATAATAATGTTGCGTTTGAAAGCATTTCGTCCGACGAATGACAAGATTGTGAAGATTCAATTGCACCCTACACATCCGTGGCTTGTCACGGCCGATGCGTCCGATCACGTTTCGGTTTGGAATTGGGAACACCGCCAGGTTTTCGTTTTGATTCTTCAAATTTTCTCTTCTTTACTTGATTTAGTTGATTATTTTAGGCGGTGTTAGGATTTTGGTGATTGTATCTCAGGTTATTTATGAATTGAAAGCTGGTGGTGTGGATGAGAGGCGTTTGGTGGGTGCAAAGTTGGAGAAACTCGCCGAGGGTGAATCAGGTACGATTGCCTTTTGACATGACACTTTGTTTTTTCTTTCAACTCACCTACACACATAGGGATTTACTTCAGGAAGGCCAAGGATTTGTGGAATCAGATCATGGGTTTGAACATAATCTGACGCCAAAGTTTGGTCATCCCAGTAATGCTCAATAAACAACACAAAAACTTCAAGATTAAATAATAATTTTATAAAACTTAAGGGTGAAGGGTGGGGGGGGGGGGTCATGGCCCCATAGTCATGAGGTGGCTCTGCGACTGCATGTATGATTGAGCAAATGGGCTGAATATACTCAAGTTAATGAAATCAATTAAAAGAATTCCATGTTGGAAGTTTCTTGTCCTTTAATATTAACATGAAAATGATATCGAACAATTGGTATATATTTTGAGAGTTTCAAAGTCCATTTTGTTTCTAGTATATTAAGTTATTTATGATAATGATGTCCTAAACTCATAATGCAATGTATGTACTTGGATATGACTAAATGCTATTATGGTCGCGTGAAACTCCTTCAGAAAAAGTACCTATTGGTTTGGAAGCTCTTAAATTATCTGGGATTAAAATTTCTTTTTAGTACATAGTTTCCGTTTGCTCGGAAACGGATATTTGTTGAAGAAGAGAAAAAAATTAAAATTTTGATTCCAAAACATGAAGGGAGATCTTTCATATCTTTTGAGATCCACCCTACAATGAGTTAAAAAAGTCAAAATAAATGATTTTAGTTTTAGCCTTTATAAAAAGAAAATTGATTCTTGAATCCCATTCACGCTAATCTCATGTTGAGGTACTGTAGAAGAAAAAATTGCAAAATCCGATCCAATTTATGGTAATCGGTTATAGTGAGATTTCAATTCCTAAATATCTTGAATTATCCCAAAGCATTTCAAAAAATGGATGTTTGATTTTCAATCACTGGCCAATATCTAAACATTTCCATCATTTCATCTCGAACAAAATGAAATTTCAATCCTTGTAATTGTCATATGATAAGTTTTAAGAAATAGGAAGTGCTTTGAACCCAATAACTTGGTTTGGCAGCTTGAATCCTCTTTTGCCCTCTAATTTGTATTCAAGGCCATATTCTTGGTTAAATGATAGACCTCTAGACTTATATTACCTTAGGACTTATGTGAAAACACTGGTTAAAAAGGGGCCAAAATCTCTAGCTATAGAATCCAAATACCTTTCTGGAAGGATACTTTCAAGTCTAGACAGTAATCAAATTTTCCTTTGTCCTCTATTTAGGGACCTTTTTTGGCAATGCATCTTATCAAGGAAGTAGCATCTAAAGCATTTTAATTTGTATAAGGAGGACTGAATTCCAAGGATGCCCAATATTAGTTCTATTAATTTTGGAACCCTAAACTCACATTATGAAACATAAGTTGGACTTGTCAACTGATACACAAATTTTAGGATATCAAAACAGGGAAATGGGGACACTCTTTACGGCATGGAGGGAGTATGATTTTGTGGAAAAAGAAAAATCTTTCAGCTTCCAACTACTTTAATCGACTAGATATACATATTTAGACATACTCGAGAAGAAGAAGAGAAGCGAGCCCATCAATTTTGTGATCAATTTCTGAAATTTCAAGAAATTAAAGAATGGAAGGATCCATAAAAGCACCAATAGAAGCCCATGAGTATGAGAGACACAATAATGACGTGGAATGGTTTTGAAGGAGTCGTCTCCCCATCACCAATCCTCCTAGAAATGGATCCAGGACCCCTTAATGACGATGTATTAAGTATGAGGGGAGAAATGGTGGTATTCTTTAGTAATGACCTTCAAAGGACACCGAAGAGTTGTCCTCACAACAGCATTGGCATCCCAACCATCTCCTCAATACCATATTTCACTTTTGATTATCAAATGCCAAAAAATGTTTTCTTTTTTTTTTTGGAATCTGCACAACCATTTTCGTAGTAAGACTTTACTTGTGTGAGTGCGACATCCAAGTACGAAGTTAGGATAGGTCAAAGTTAGGTTGAACTAGTGGTTGAAAGACCACATTACCTAGTCATAAACCACCTTTCGACTTGGGATGACATGCTAGTTCCAATCTAATCTAATTATTGCCAAAATAATCCCTTAGACCTTAAAAATTTTTGTATTTTCTTGAGCTTGGTCGCATTATCAATATGAATTTCAACTAAAGAGAGGAAGTAAAGTGGAATGATGGGGGCTAAGCATGACCCATTCAAAGTAATCTTGCTTCCAAGGAAAAATAAACTTTCTTTCCATAATCAAAATGCTCTGAAACCTTTTTCAACTGCTAATAGACCATGGATTTCCTCCTAAATGAATGCCTCAACAATTTTAAGCCACTGGCTAATTCCACGCCCTGAGGATGAGACGAATGCTTCCAATTGATCCCTCTCCATTAAGAACATTAATGACCGAAGTTAACTAGAAGAGTGATAATGGATCCCTTGTCTAGAGACAAAACTTAAATGACCTAAAAAAGGACATCTCATTTCTAATAGGATGGGAAAATTGTCTCATTAGCAAATTGACGATAACAGACCTTAATCCTATGATGATCTACCCTGATACCTTCAATCGAAGCCACATTCTCAGCTTTGGAAATCATTTTATGTGAACATCAATTACCAAAGCAAACAAGAAGAGGGACATGGGGTCTGTTCAGACTCCTCACAGAGAGAGAGGGAGAACTAACCTGGGACAACCATTGGTGGTGTGGGCCAGCTGCCACCTTGGCAGCTGTCAAAATACAACATAGGTAATCCATTTGGTAGGATGAAAGAGTGGGAGGAAAAAAGGGGATGGCTGGCTTGAATCCCGGTAGCTGGTAGGAAAGAGGGGGGTGGGGGTTGGTAAATTGTTATCACCTGCAAATGGGCAGAAAGGAGGAGAGGAAACCCCTGCGTCCAACCACTCTCCTCGCATTGGCACCCACAATACCCAAAAGAGGAAAAAGAAAAATTATAGATTACCTTCTTGTGGTGTGATACATTAAAATATTACCTGCCTTTACTTTAAAAATTTACACATAACCCCCTCTGTTTTTGAAGCACACCAAAATTCGTTAGGAATTCGATTAAAATTAATAGTCAAATGTCCCAATTTACTATTTTTAATTAGAAAACTTATCTCAAATGACTTTTATACTTTATACATGTCACATTTTTTTCCCTATCCAAAATAAGCCAATCTCTTTCTCTCTCTTGGATTTTCATGCATTAAGTAGTTTTTTTAATTGTTTATAAAATTTCCTGGAAGGAAAACTGTAAAAAGTTAACAAAATATGGAGGGCAGCTGTTGCACTTTAGCCCTAAACCACAGGGAGTTAAGTTTTTTAAAATAGGGTGGTGGAGTGTTATGGGGTCAAACCACAGAGAGGTGATCTATAATTTGCCCAAGGAAAAAAGGCCAGGTAGGAGTGTAATGGTATAATCAAGCCATACCTCTTGCATTCTTGTTCTTCAAACAAAGGAGGGGAGGACATTATTCTTTCATTAGAGATACCCTGGTAGCAGAAAGATATAAAGAAAGTAAATAGACTTTGATGAGAACATTGTAGACAAAATGTTTGACCTAATGTAGTCACATTGCATAAAGACAGTTATCAATTTGAGGTTTTGTATTCTTGAGAATTTATTAGGAATAATACATGCACACACTTTTATCCACGTAAATGCTTTCATATTTTCTCTAATAAATAATGTTTCAGCTTTGGTAGATGGGTTATTATGATAGTTATATGGATCTTATATTGCCTCAAAATTCTGTTGGAAGACTACTTAATGTTGGGTTTGCTCATTTCTCTTCAAGTAATAGGTGGTATCATGCAGTTCAGGAAAATATAAAGTACTTATGAACTGTAAAATTCATATTTCAAATGATGAATCCTGCCTGCCATGGTTAAAATCTTCTATAGGTTTTTCTTGGACAATTTGTTTCCTAAGTTATTGTTGTTCATGGCATCTTACTAGCAAATTTTAGGCATGTTTTCAAAATTCAACTTTTGACAAAGACCCTCTCTGGGGGCAGACAAATGCATGTTTCAGTTCTCCTTCACATTTATTTGGGATACCTTAGTCAATCTGGCCTTGTCTTTTATTCTGCATTTGGTCATCTACTTTATATTTGGTGTTTTCATATTGGGGAAGTATCAATATCTTTGTATGTGTTTTGTTTCTCTGCCAGAGCCAAAAGGGAAACCTACAGAAGCCATACGGGGAGGGAGGTAATTGAGTGATGCTCTCATTTTCATAATTTTCGGCTTCTGTTGCTTATTCTTTTTGAACCTGAACCTTTCATTGTGGCACATGGTTCAAGTGTTAAGCAGGTCAACTTTTATGATGATGATGTGCGTTTTTGGCAACTTTGGCGTAACCGTTCTGCTGCAGCTGAGGCTTCATCAGCAGTTAATAACAGCATGTCCGCATTTGGTTCTCCAGCTCCATCTACAAAAGGAAGGCATTTTCTTGTCATCTGTTGCGAGAACAAGGCCATTTTTTTAGATTTGGTGACAATGCGTGGCCGTGATGTACCAAAGCAGGACCTTGACAATAAGTCTCTTCTCTGGCAAGTCCTTTGTTACATAGTTTACTGGCAAAAGAAAGCTTGCTCTTCTTCACTAGGTTTTTAAATTTTATTTGCCAGAAATATAGGCAAAATGAGTTTCAGGTAACAGAATTATGTTATTTCTGGCCTTTGCACAATGGTAAGTTGCTCCACTGGGAGCTGCATCATGGGTTAAAGTAAAGGAAATAGCCTCTTGGCATTTGGAGGTAGGGTTGCGCTTGCGCATATATGACCTTCACTAGACCCCACAGCGGGAGTCTCATGCACTGGGCTGCCTTTTTAATCCATGATATACTTCATTCTTTTGGTCATTATGTTATAGACAGCTGTTGCATCGAACCCCTTCCCCTTGTTATGACTCCAAAATTGTGCTCTGGGATAAAGTGATCAAACTTCTATCTGTTTCATTTGCTATTGTTTCTTTCAATTTTGGTACAAAATCATGCCTGGAGGATAAAATTGTCCTTTATAGTTGACATCATGAAACCTCAGAATGTACAACACATCCATTGACTGAGCCTGTTCATATTGTTAAATCTTCCCAATTTTTGGTGGATGAATAGCACCTAATTACTGTTTCTTTTGTTTTATTTTTCTAAAAACATACTATTTTTATCACCTACTAATAAAGAAAAATATAAATATATATGGAGGACCAACTGCCTTGATTACATCAACCATTTGTTCTTGCAGTATGGAATTCCTCTCAAGATCATTTGCTGGTGATGGTCCTCTTGTGGCTTTTGGGGGATCAGACGGTGTGATTAGAGTTCTTTCAATGATAGCATGGAAGGTTTGCTAGTTTATTATGTTTTTGGTGTATCAACTTCACCATTAATGTTATTGACATTACTTTCACAAGGTGACATTGCTTGGTTCTTTGCAGCTTGTACGAAGGTACACTGGAGGCCATAAAGGATCGATTGCTTGTTTGATGACATTCATGGCTTCTTCTGGCGAGGTAGTCCTTGGGTTCTTAAGATGTTGAAATCATGTCTACAAGCCACTAATGTATCTGCCTCTGAAATATTCTTCTGTAGCCCTTTTTTTTCTTCTTTTTTTTTCTTACATGATTTAGGGGCGAGGGGTGTTTTCCATAATTTTTTCCTTTGTTGCTAACTTTTGGACCTATAAATTATTAAATAATCCAAATTTTCACCTTGAATTTGTCCCTGATATTGTAACTTTGGTTTTAAATTTTGTGATGCCGGTGTTCAAATCCCAACATGGTGGGATGGGGTTAGGAGTTGTATTCCAGTTCTGTTAATAAAAGAAAAAGTTAGATTTTGAAATTTGGCTAGTTGACACCTTTTTGTTTTTTTGGTGTCATTACTATTGATTATGGGAAATAGTCTCTGTCTCCCTCTCAATGTATATGTTTATTCCTCATTATGTAATTTTAATTCATCTATTGACTTCATTTTATATTGTGATTGGATTTAGGCACTTCTGGTTTCTGGTGGTAGTGATGGTTTACTTGTACTTTGGAGTGCAGACCACAGCCAAGATTCACGAGAACTTGTTCCTAAGCTGAGCTTAAAAGTAGCTATCTGCTTGTGCTCTCATTTTTGCTTCTTTGCATTTTATGTTTTTTGGCTGCTTTGTTTCATTTAGGATATGCTAATATCTGCCAAATAGTAAAGCAATTTGTTCTTTGATAATGTATTGCTATGAAAGAATTATGTTGATAAATGTTGATATCGCACAGGCATACAATGTTAGTGATAGTGAACCTAAAACACAATGTACCATGCCATGGGTGTTACCTTTTCTTTTCGATAAGAAACATAACTTTCATTTCATAGAAAGTGTATCCAGTATATGTATCCATCCAATAACAAAAGAAGTACAGGGGAAATAAAACAAATTTAGCTAGATACAGCTTTCCAATTATGTTGTAAAGTCAACAAAGGAGTGTCACTAAAGTGATTTGAAACCACTGCAAAAGCTAAAAACGTCACTATATCCCACAACAACTCTTTTTCCACACCCATGCCTTCAAAAATTCTGCAATTCCTCTCCATTCATACCACCCACATAATAGCCATAAATGCACATCTCCATAGCTTTGATGTTTTTTTTTCCCACTCCCAAAACCTTTAAAATGCACCAAAAATAGAGATACACAATTGCGAGGTATTACCCACATCAATTCCGCTTCCCACAGAAGTTTATGCCACAAAAACATAGTTATAGGACAATGAAGGAACAAATGATTAATACTTTCACCACTTTCTTTACACAAAACACACCAATTAGGGGAAAGATATTTGTTGAGCCTTCTATTTTGCAACAAGTCACAAGTGTTCACCTTACTATAAGCAATCATCCAAGCAAGCACTTTTACCTTAGCGGACAACACTCTAGCCTTCCAAATTATCCAATCATGTGGGAACTCAGGTTTGCATGTGGGGTTAACAAATAAATACACAATCATGTATACCTGGATATTCATATGGGTAAGAGAGAGAGACTTGATCCACTGATCACCCAACCAATTCTAATAGCGTGTTAGAGCATCCAACCTACAACCAATTGGTAATGGGTGGAGTGGCTTCTCAAGTATATAAACCATCTTTGGTAGTCCTAATTATTTGATGTGGGATACAAACTCTCTTAACACCCTCCATTAAGTTTGACCTAGGCTCGCTTGCGGGGCCAATAAACAAACAAACAACCATGCATACAGAAAAATTTAGATGGGAAAGAGACTTGACCTTCTGACTGGCTGACCACCTAAGGCTTAACTCTGATACTATATTAGAATGCCCAATCAAAAATCAATTGACAATGAATGAAGTGACCCCTCAAGTATTTAAATTAATCTTGGTGGTCCTAGTTATTCGATGTGGGATACAAGCCTTCTTAACTTAATAACATCAATCAAATATTGCAAATAGGAACCACAAGAAAAGTGTATAGAAGAATCAAGAGACCAGACCTTTTTATCATTAACTGTGGAATCTAAATGAACCAAATTAATCAAAAGAAGAAGAGATGCAAAGTCCAATGTTTCTTGGTCACTAAGATTAAGGAAAAATTGAAATTCCTCCTTGTGAGAATGAGTAGGAGAATAGATGCATTATGGGACCCTGATAACCTATAGAGCCGAGGAAACAAAGAAGCAAAAGATGACTCACCCTTCCAAGTATCCTCCCAAAAATAAATTCTCTCACTATTTTTTACTCTCAAAATGATATGCTTTTTAAAATCCTCCAACCAGTGAGAGAAATTTTCAAAGGATTATGAAAGGTTCCTATACTCACCACATCAGAGTCCCTTCCATTGGAATGGATTCCGTACTTACTTTCAATAAGTGAATGCCACAAGGAATCAGTCTTCAATAGAAACCTCTAAAGTCATTTTCCTAATAAAGTTACATTCCTTTTTATCAAATTTCCAATTGCCAATCCCCTTTTTGGTTTTGGTTTTGATTTTGACACAACTTCCCATCTTACTAAATGATTGTTCTTCTCTTTCCCACTTCCTTCTCATAAAAAGTCTTGATCATGTTTTCCAATATCTTAACCACCTTCCTAGGCATCCTAAAAGGACTCATAAAATATGTAGGAATACTACCAAAAACCTCTTAGATCAAAATAAGCATCTCTCCTTTAGACAAAATACTTTTTTCCAACCGTTTAATCTCTTTTGCTTCTTCTCCACAAACGAATTTCAAAATTTAATGACAAATGATTTCCTCATAGTGGAAGACTCGGATATTTTAATGGCCACTCACACACTTCACATCCCTACCCCTTAGCTGGCCTTTTAACTTTAGTCCTAGGCGCATTAATACTTGCAATGGAACTCTTAGATATATTCACCTTGAACCCAAAAACCAAAGTAAAAGTACTTTCAATTTTAACTAAATTAAGAAATTTTTGTTCATTGCTTGATAAGAAAAAAATGGTATTATCAGCAAATTGAAGATGAGCCACGCTAATCATATCATCACAACCTTTCACTAAATTATACTCCATTTCTCTATCCATCAATCTACTCTACCCATCTGATAGTGTTTGTTTGAATAAAATAATATTAGATACACAATGCAAACCCTTATACCGGGCAATATAAAATAATGAGAACGACTAAACTACTCTTAATATTACTACTAATACTAGTAGTAAGTAAACTCGTTAACATCCTCTTTCAAACTCATGATGTGGTAGTAGAGAACATTAAGAGTTTGCTAAGAAGAAAACAAAAATGTGCAATGGTATGAGATTTCGTGAGTGGAAAGCACAAAAAGAAGAGAGATGGTGTCCAGTTGAAAATGATGGCACATAAAGTTACAATCAATCTAAATATGCTTTGTGCGTTTATAAAAGATTGAATTATGAGCAATCTGAATAGCACTAGTGTTGTCACAATATATAGAAGTCGGAGCATTGTCATTATAACCAAACTATCTCAACTACAGTATATGCTATAGCACTTCGGCAGAGGAACGAGCAATAATAGTTTATTTTTTGTTTTTCCAAAAAATAAAGGAATCACCAAGGAAAAGTCAGAAGCTAGTAGTGGATTTACGGTCCATAGAGTCACCAACCCGGCAAGTATTAGAGTGAGCCTTGAGTTCCAAAGGGAAAATTGAGAAAAATAATAAACTCTGATATAGAGTACCATGAAGAGACCAAAGAATATGAAGAACAATAGCCCAATGAACAGTGGTAGGGGAGGCAACAAATGGACTGACATCGCGAACAACATAAGAGATGTTTGGACGAGTGACTGTAAGATATATCAAGCTCTCAACCCAACAATAGTGTGATAGAGTGCAGGATCTGGCAAATGAGTACCATCAGAAGACGAGTAACGAAAATATTTAATGACAAAGGAATATTGAGTGCATTCTATGGTATGAAAAGTAATGAAGATCGAAAAGAATTTAGATAAACTCTTCATCAAATATACTCAACAGTACCTGGTATAATCATTAATAGAGGAAACATAATATTTGGATCCTCCTTGTATAGGAATAGGAGTTGGTCCTCATATATCAGAATGAATAAGATTAAATGAGGCAAGAGAATGAGTAACACTTTTAGTGAAAGGTAATGCAGTAAATTTAGTCAACTTATATCCGGTACAATCAGAAATATCAAGACTCTCTAAACTGCCAAAACTACTGATAGAGCTAAAAATTTCAAACGAGAATAAGAAATATGATGACGGTGAGAATACCACAAATAAAAACTAGAATATTGTAGATTCAAACAAAAAGAAGATAAATTAACAATAGAGACAACAAGTTTTGGAACATGGAGTTCCTCTACACATACATCCCTTCCTTTTTATGACCTGCCCCAATCAATTTCTTGGACTGCACAACACAACTAGAAAGGGAAAAATGAACAAAAAATCCTGAATCAAAAAATTGATTGACTGAGTCTCTAGTGGCGTTTGGTTGCTGATGTCAGCATTGAAGCAGATGACGTCAACCCTAACTCTCTTCAATTTCTTCCTCCGATGAATATTACTATACTGATTTTCGTGTTTAGGATCGTAAATGCTCTGATACCACGATAATATTGATCAAACAAAGAAGAGAAAAAAGAGAAAAGGAAGAAAATATATTACGACTACATTAATCTGTCAGAACAAAATAATATTAGATATACAATGCAAGTCCTTATATAATAGCGCAACATAAAATAAAGAAAATGACTAAACTATTCCTAATACTAATACTAATAATAAGTAAACTCTCTAACACCATCCACCATGAAAGTAAAAAGAAGAGGCGAAAAGGGATCATTTTGCCTCAACCCCTACAAGCATTAAATCTTTCCCTTAGTTTACCATTAATAACCACCAAAAAATTCATAGAAGATAAACATCCCCCAACTCATTTTCTCCATCTACTCCCAAAACCTTTGTCATTAAAAACAAATCCATGTAACCTCAATCCACATGATCATAAACCTTTTAGCACTATCCAAAATTTGTCTCCCCATAACAACACCTTTTCTTTTCTACAAAGATTTTCTCATCTTTCATTATCTTCTTCTGGTTTTGATGATTTTTCAATTAATTCACATGACAGAACGTAAGACCTTCTGATAGTTTATCAGAGTAGTAGAGCGCCCTTTTTTGTTTTAATTTAGTTGGGTGATAGAATTTGTGTTCTTATTATGCTGTTAATGGTGGTTAAACTGCTAAGGACCTTGATTGTAATGTACTTACTTTATACTGAATAGCTGTGTAAGGACATGGACCACTGCTGTCACATGGCATTAAGCTGTGACGGGCAGGCTTGTGCCTGGCATGACATCCAGCACTATGACATTGTTAATAGTTTATTGAAAATCATATAAAAAAAGTTCGTCCCTAAGTTCGTCCCTTCTTTTTTTTATTTTTTTCTAATATTATGTGCATAAGCATTTAAGCCTTTTTGCTTGCACATTGTGTAATGTCTGATGATATTTTTGAAAAACCGTATGATTTCCTTATGATACTTTTAAGGCTCATGATGGCGGGGTCGTGGCTGTTGAACTTTCTAGAGTAATTGGTAGTGCTCCACAGCTCATTACCATTGGTGCAGATAAGACTTTAGCAATCTGGGACACAATTTCTTTTAAGGTAGTACTAACTTTGCATAATTCTTGATGTAATTTCTGAAACGTAAAATTTACAATGGATGGCCCCTCTTTCAAATATTTTTTTCTCATTCCTTTTTTTTTTCCTTTCAGGAATTGCGTCGTATTAAACCTGTTCCGAAATTGGCTTGCCACAGTGTGGCGTCTTGGTGCCACCCTCGAGCTCCCAACCTTGATATTTTAACTTGTGTTAAGGATTCTCATATTTGGTATGCATATTTATTTCTCTGTAGTGGCATGCATTACTAGTTTTGCCCTTTTTTTATTCTTTGTGATTCTAATAAAAGAAAATGGTGGTACAAGATTTGTGTAGCCAACTCTGCATGCTGGATGAATCATGAAGAACATTATGACTCTTGGTTATGTGAAATTTTTTCTGTTTGGAGGGAATTGTGATTCTTGGTTAATATATTGGCAGGGCCATTGAACACCCTACCTATTCAGCTCTTACGAGGCCATTGTGTGAGCTTTCCTCATTAGTCCCTCCGCAAGTGCTTGCATCTCATAAGAAACTAAGGGTATATAGCTATTCTTTAACTTGTTGCTTCTTCAACATTAATTGATGGTTTATGTTTTTGGGCCACAAAATTATTACGATAAAGAAGCTTTGTTTAGTCATTTTGATGAGTAAGAGGAAACATTTTTGTTGGACATTTGATGTTATTAAGCATATACTGTTGACATTTTCTCTTTTTTGCATTAAGGTTATGGGCTTTAGTGGGGAAAGAGTTGAGATTTATATAGATTTCAGACTTTGAACTCTCATCAGAGAGCTTGAATAGTGAGAAAAGGTGGTATGATGAGATTACATGATAATAGCAATGAAGAAGGTGAAAGGATTTCTCCTGTTCCATCCTTAATCAACTTGTTCGTTGTCTCCAAAATTGCTCTGGACTGACACATGAATTCTGCCACAACTTCACAAAACACTGGAGAACAAGCCTTGTGCACTGACAATTTATATACTTTGTATTGGAAATGATAAATCATTTTTTCTTCTAACAAATTAAGTTTCTGTCAAACTTGGCTGCAAAAGTTTGTCAATTGCATATGTTTTATTGAGAAATTTTTGCTTGACTCTATATCTGAGTATATTGCTATTGCTATCGCAATTGTAGGTTTATTCTATGGTTGCACATCCTTTACAGCCACACCTGGTTGCCACTGGAACCAATATTGGTGTCATTGTCAGTGAATTTGATGCCAGATCTCTTCCAGCTGTATCTCCCCTACCAACACCCACAGAAAGTCGAGAACATTCTGCTGTTTTTGTAGTTGAAAGGGAATTAAAGTTGCTACACTTTCAGTTGTCTAACACTGCGAACCCGTCTCTTGGAAGTAATGGCTCCTTACCCGACACAGGAAGATTCAGGGGAGAGTCACCCGAACAACTCCATGTCAAGCAGATTAAAAAGCACATTAGTACTCCTGTTTCTAATGATTCATACTCGGTTCTATCCGTGAGCAGTTCAGGAAAGTAAGTGGCCTCCGGCATATGACTCTACATTGTATGGGGCATGTAAATCAAGCATTAGCACCAGTAGAAGGGTCATTGAATAAATACTTGTAGCAGCCAGCTTCTGATGCATCTTAATTATCATCTAGGAAGCAATGAATATGGAAACGGTATGGTATGCTAGGATACAACAACATGGCACAACCTAAAACATTAGGATACAAATACACATATGATATGCCTATAAAAGTATTTATTTATATTTTTACTGTTATCTGGCAACAAAAATTAGCAATTTTCACTTTCAAAGAATTTATGTTAAATCCACTAGGTGAACGTCACTAATTAAAGGGATCGGAGTCAACATTTAACTAGTCGATTTGCATAGAAGTATTTGTTATCAGGTGCAATTAAATCATATATGCTCTTTTGACATTTGATAGTATGTAATACTCAAGAAACACACCTGTGTCTTCGAAGTTATATGGATTTTTCTATAGGAAAGGGCAAAGATTAAAATTAAAAACTCTAGATATTGTTCTGTGTTACTTCTATATCCGAAGCATAATCATTTTGGATAAGTATTGGCTACGTATCCAGATATTTTATTTAATGTTGGATATGTATGGTGCTTATCTAGTACGTATCTTCAAGTATCTGAAACGTATACCTCGACCTTAACGAGGTATCCATGCTTAATAGATTATTGTGTTTGAATGTCTACTAAAGTTCTAGCATTTTAATTTGGGTTTTCATGCACATTTCAGCCTTTTTAGTTAAGGGTTTTTACATTCTTATTATTTATTGGAGTCTTGGGTCATCCCATAATATCTTGGACTTGAGCACTTGTCATTTGGTTGCAGGTATCTTGCAATTGTATGGCCTGATATACCTTACTTCTCGGTCTACAAGGTCAGTGACTGGTCCATTGTTGATTCAGGCAGTGCAAGGCTTTTGGCTTGGGATACTTGTCGAGATAGATTTGCTCTGCTGGAATCTGCCCTACCTCCTAGAATGCCCATAGTTCCCAAGGGAGGTTCATCAAGAAAGGCAAAGGAAGCTGCTGCAGCTGCGGCACAAGCTGCTGCGGCAGCTGCTTCTGCTGCTTCAGCTGCTAGTGTTCAAGTTCGTATCTTGCTGGATGATGGGACATCAAACATATTAATGAGATCTGTTGGAAACCGCAGTGAACCGGTTATTGGTTTGCATGGTGGCGCCCTACTTGGCGTTGCCTATCGAACCTCCCGGAGGATTAGCCCTGTTTCTGCTACAGCTATTTCAGCAATTCAGTCTATGCCCTTGTCAGGCTTTGGGAGTAGTGGTCTTTCTTCTTTCTCTACAATAGATGACGGATTTTCTTCCCATAAGTATCCAGCTGAAGCAGCACCTCAGAACTTCCAGTTATACAGTTGGGAAACCTTTCAACCAGTGGGTGGTCTTCTCCCTCAGCCAGAATGGACAGCATGGGACCAAACTGTTGAGTATTGTGCTTTTGCCTATCAGCAATACATTGTCATATCTTCCTTGCGCCCTCAGTATAGGTATTTGGGCGATGTGGCAATTCCTCATGCTACTGGAGCTGTTTGGCACCGAAGACAGCTGTTTGTGGCTACACCAACTACAATCGAGTGTGTTTTTGTGGATGCTGGAGTTGCGTCTATTGACATAGAAACAAAGCGTAGAAAAGAAGAGATGAAGCTGAAAGAGGCACAAGCAAGAGCTGTTGCTGAGCATGGAGAGTTAGCATTAATAGCAGTTGATGGCCCCCAAACTGACAAGCAAGAAAGGATAACATTGAGACCCCCAATGCTACAGGTGGTGCGATTAGCTTCTTTTCAGCATGCTCCCTCTGTGCCTCCGTTTTTAACGTTGCCTAAACAATCTAAAGTCGATGGTGATGATTCAATGCCAAAAGACATGGAAGAAAGAAAAGTCAGTGAGATAGCTGTTGGTGGTGGTGGAGTATCAGTGGCTGTTACTCGTTTTCCAGCTGAGCAAAAACGACCAGTTGGACCTCTTGTTGTTGTGGGTGTTAGAGATGGTGTTTTGTGGCTAATTGACAGGTACATGTGCGCGCATGCAATATCCCTTAGCCATCCTGGTATTCGTTGCCGGTGTCTCGCAGCATATGGAGATGCTGTTAGTGCAGTAAAATGGGCAAGTAGGCTAGGTAGAGAACATCATGATGATTTAGCACAGTTTATGCTGGGGATGGGTTATGCTACCGAAGCACTTCATTTGCCTGGATTATCGAAGAGGTTGGAGTTTGATCTGGCCATGCAGAGCAATGATTTGAAAAGAGCGCTTCAATGTCTTCTGACAATGAGCAACAGCAGGGATATTGGGCAGGAAGCTCTAGGGTTAAACTTAAATGACATTATGAATTTAACAGCAAAGAAGGAAAATATTGTGGATGCTGTCCAAGGAGTAGTGAAGTTTGCAAAGGAGTTTTTGGATCTTATTGATGCTGCAGATGCTACTGGACAAGCTGACATTGCTCGTGAAGCTCTTAAGAGGTTAGCTGCTGCAGGTTCGGTAAAGGGAGCTTTACAAGGTCATGAGTTAAGAGGACTTTCTTTACGCCTTGCAAATCACGGAGAGTTGACGCGGTTGAGTGTATGTATCAGATTTAGTCCTGCTTCTGTTTATCATTAATGTGTGCCCTCCGATGCGTGCTTTAAAAGTTTAACAATTATATCCTTCGCTCTACTTGCTTTGCTTCATATTAAACTTTAAAATATGAAAACTATTATATAGTTCCATATAAATGATGTCTTGTACAAAGTGTTAGTTAATCTAAAAATGTCATCTTTCCATCAGGAATGGCTGCGGTTTATCTATTTATACATGATTGTTTTAGTAAATGTCATGTATGCCTTTAAGTGACATATATGTGTATGTGTGTAAATCAGTATATCTACTGATGATATCATACAAACTCTGGTCGCCATCCCTATCGACTCTCCAGCTTATGAAATAGGCTTCTGGCATTACAGGCAAATAGACCATCAGAAGACAAGAGGTGATTCCAGTTGGGCCTTTTTTGGTGTGTGTGTTTTTGTTTTTGTTTTTTTGTTTGGGGGGGGGGGGGGGGGGGGTTGAGGGATATCTGAGGAATTTAAGAATATTTGTCCATGTGATGTCGTCTATCTGTTTTTCAAGGAAGCATTGGGCAGAACATGATGCTAAACTCATTAGGTAAATTTAAAAATCTTGACCAATTACGAGTTGTACTGGATTTCTGGTTCAGGTTTGTCGTTGTTGGTAAAAATGATGTAGCTAAGAGGACTTCATTTGGGCGATTGCCCCCAGACAGCGTTTTCTAATATGTTTTCACTTGACTGAATAGAAGTCAGGGCTTTTAATTAGGTCGGTCATGGACTGTGATCTGACTCATACGGCTAGAACTCTAGGTGGACAGATATGAAGGAGGCAGAAGGACAGCTCACAGCAGGCAGCCGTGGCATTTGGTTTTGCTGAAACAGGCTGGGAGCTGATTAGCAGCCGTCTCTTTACGCAGAACTGTGCTCCTCCCTTGAAAAAATTGTTCTCTAATTAAATTGGATTTGGATGCTCCATTTTTTCTTTGTCAGCGTATAATGTAAGAAATCAAACATTTAATTATTGGCATAAAATGAGTTGGAGCTATCACCATAGTAGGTAGTTAGGGGTGAGTTTTACTAGTTTTTAATATGCAAAATTTAATTTTTACAATCATCTTGTTGGATGATTGCCATTTTCTGTAACTTCCTTCTAGTGAGGATGACTTTTTCCCATTTCAATTGTAGCAAGAAAAAAAAACAAAATGATTTTATTTGCATCGAGGTTATATTTGCTCCTGTTTAATATTGGGGTTGTTATCCAATTCCATTTTTCTGGGGCAGTATACTTATAATAATTATGATTTAGAGGGTTTGAAGATAACAACTATTACCAATTTACCATGAATGTGCAGCCTAAAGTTCATCTACTCTGTTCAAGGATTATGTGTGTTTTTTTTGTTCTTATCTCTGACCTTTTTCGCTACTTGTTTCCTGCAGAATTTGGTAAACAATATGATATCAGTCGGCTCAGGACGGGAAGCTGCATTTGCAGCTGCAGTTTTTGGGAGACAATGCACTCATGGAGAAAGCATGGCAGGATACTGGGATGCTTGCTGAGGCGGTGCTCCATGCTCAGGTATAATTTCCTAATCCGCTTGCTTTACCTTTATCAGACTTTAGTGCTTTAATCTTGACCGGCCTTATGGTCTTCAGGCTCATGGTCGCCCCTCGTTGAGGAACTTGGTTCAGTCTTGGAACAAAATGCTACAGAAGGAGCTGGAGCACACTCCGTCGGCAAAAACAGATGCGGCAGCTGCATTTCTTGCCTCCCTTGAGGAATCCAAGCTCACAAGTTTGGCTGAAGCAGGGAAGAAACCACCAATTGAAATTCTTCCTCCCGGAATGGCTTCTCTCTATGGTCCCAATCCTGGTCAGAAAAAACCTGGTCCTGCTATAACTGGTTCACAGCAGCAAGGCAAGCAGTTGCTTATAGATGGACCTGTTGCCACACCAGGAGGTGCCTCCCCTCCATCAGACACAAGTGCTCCACCTACATCAGATTCAGTTGTTCCACCTACATCAGAATCCAGTGTTCCACCTTCATCTGACTCGGGGGCTCCATCTACTTTAGAATTGAATACTCAAGCTCCTTCAGAATCTACTGCTCCAGTCACCTCAGACACAAGTGCTCCAGTGCCCTCAGAATCCAGTGAACCAACTTCAAACAATCAAGATCCTAACTCATCCTCAGCAAGCGTTTCAGATCCAGTTGTGCAAGGCGATAGCGTCCAAACTGTACCTACAAGTAATACGACCCCAACAGATGCTCCTCCCCAGTTACCAGCTAGTCAAGCGCCAACTGCTCCTGCTGCACTGCCAATGATTGACTTTACTTGACAAGCTAGTCTTAGAAATTGCACCTAAGAGATGTTGTACGGGTGATTTTTTACATCAGAGTTCTTTTTTTTTTTGGTCCGGTTTACATCAGAGTTCAAGCACATGGGTTCTGTTGCTTGTATCATAAGGGAGCTCTTTCAGTGTCTTGATTATTGGGAAGTGAAGAAAGAGTTAGTTCTGCTTAGTTGTTGTTGTGTCCACCTTTCTGTAAGTCCTTTACGCTTGTATATTAGTTGCTTCTCTTCAATTTTGCTTGTCTGATTCATTTACGCATTTTCTTGTGTTGATTTACTTCTTTCTTTCTACCCCTTTTTTCCTTGGTAGAGGTACTTATATAGAGACAGGGAATTCGCAGTTTGTAATATCTATATTCAATGAAGTTCATTAGCAATTTCTTGAACATAGCAATTTCTTTTGGTTAATAGCAGGTTTGTTTGGGCTAAATCAGTCCCAAATTTTAAGGAAGACAAACTAAGACAGCCATACGGGGATGTATCCTTGAATTCTTTGAGGAAATGGGTAAAGCCTTGGTTGATTCTACATTTCAACCGCCATGATTTAGGTGTAGTTATTTTTGGAATCATTACTTGTTTTATGCATCACAGGGGAAAATGATCAGCACTGGTTGGAGGATATTTGGATCATCTTTGGTGTATATATTTTTTTTTTCAATTTCTCTTGATATTAGATCACTGACCGTGGATTGATAGTGGACCCAAGCGAATATAGTGGCCCTTCTCATTCGATTTTTGCAAGATGATCTCATGTCAAGGGAAATTTAAAAAGGAAAAAGTTTATCAGAGGGGATTCATAACTGTTTGGAGGAAACTATGCAGCCTGCAGGTTCCTTGCAACTTTAATTGTCACGTCTGGATCGAAAGTGTCTTAAAGTTGCAGCTAGGAAGGATCCAGAGCTTTTCTAATATTTTTCTCTCATTTTTCTATTTTGGTAGATTATTTACAATGTATTAGTTACCGATCATCTCATATGCAATAGATTCCACCTATATTTAGATCATCCCATACATTCAAACACAAGGATTTAAAACCTCTCAGCTTCGCATTCTGTCAATTTGATCAAGTTTAATTAATTTTTTTTTTTAATTTATCGTCCCATTGACGGATAAATATGTTTAAATTGAGGATATTACTATGTTACCCCTTCGATACCGAAAGTAAAATTTGTGTTAATTTGTTCGGAGTTGTTGAAAGTGAAAATCTATATAATAAAATACAATACAATTTAAATTTTAAAAGATAAATAAAATGATTGTTATTTTTCGAGATTGAGATTTCTTTAACTTTTACATTAAAATTAATTTGACGGCTAATATTAACACTCCAAAATTAATAGGGAAAATAGGCCCTTAAAAGTGTGTTTGAAGTAACTTTTTAAAAGTGTTTCTAGAATTTATAACTTCTCATAAGTATTTTTTTTTTTTAAAAAAATAGTGTTTGAAACCGCTCCACCACCACCACTACTATCACCACACCGCCACTACCCCACCACCATTACCACTACCACCACCACCACTCCACCACCACCACTACACCCACCGTCCCACCACCATTATCACCACTCCCACCATCACCACCATCACCACCGTTGCTGCCACCTTACAACGACCGCAACTGTCCCACCATCACCCCTACCACCCATGGTTTTCACCATAACCAACGGTCGTTGTCAACATTCTCCCACTACCAACACTGCCGCCACTTGTCTCTATTACAATCGGTGTTTAAATTTTTTTTTCTCCCCTCTATTTTCGTGATTTAATTTTAAGTGTAAATACAAATATGTTTATTGTTAACTATTTTTTATTACTTCGTGCCTTCAGACACATAAAATAATTAGTATTAAAATAAAATAAAATAAAAAAATATAAAAAAATTTATACGTGTCTTGCTTATTTGGAGGGATGAAAAGTACTATTTTGGTCGTTGCACTAATTTCCTCTTTCTTAATCGATCAACACAAACACAAGAAATTTTCAAAGACATGAAATTTTCAAAGATTGTATTTAAAGAACGGCATGGTCAACGCCCAAACCGTCAAGTTTCTTCTATGTGGAAAAGAGAAGTCCAAATGTGCACACAAAATTCTTTCCAAGCTTAACGTGTGGGTCGTCTCTGTGGTTCCTTCCAACATTGACGGGCTAAGATGGTCTATGCCACAAGGTAATGCGTTTGTGTGGGGGCTGAGGGGTGATGAGTGGGTCTCTCTGAATAAAATTAGATATCAGTTATTTTTCATGCTACACTGCCACTCCTTCCTATTTTTTTCACCCCCATGATGTTGATGGCAGCAACTAGTCACCGAACCTTCCTAATGCTTGATTCCTCTCTCTCTCTCTCTCTCTCACACACACACACACACACACACATCTCTCTCTTCCTCTCTCCCTTTACACTTTGGTGGAAAATTTGAGTGGTGGTAAGGGAGAGGGTCGGGGTGGTGGGTTTGGTTGGGTAGGCCCGCCAGTTATCCATGTTTTTGGAAGAAGCTACAAACCACCTCCATTTCCATTTTTGGAGAAAATCAAATCAAAGCAAAAAAATGAAAAATGAAAATCTAATTGGAATTGAAATCTTGACCCTTCACATAATATTAACATAAAAATAGAAAAATTGAGAACTAAAACTCAATAAAAAAAAATGGATGATGAAAATCAAATTGAAATTGAAAAGGGGAACGTGGATGTCAAAATCAAAATTGAAATAAACGTGCAAAGTTTACAAAAAAACTCAAAAGCTTCTTCAAATTGAAACTAGTATTAGACCGTCAAAAAATTGAAAATAGAAATCACATATTGACAATGTTGTGCACATTACATTTGAAGTGAGTGACGTTGTACTGTGGTGCTCTAATTTGTGCTGAGTCAAGCCAAAAAAAAAAGGGAGAGAAAGAAGAAGAGGGTGAGAGGGAAGTAAAAGATATTAGAAGTAGAAGAAATCACAGCTCAGTTCCACTCAAAAATAGTCAGTGTATAGGCAATTGAGCAATTTCTTATCAGAATCTATGAGGCCACACTTTTGAAGTTTGAGAAACTACAAGGGGTCTTATTGTCATTTTCCCTAACTTTTTTGTCTAACGTTACAAAGCAACTGTCCAAACGGACTCTCCTTCTCTCTATTCTGGAGAAGTACGATAAAGAAAAATAAAGTAAAAGTAAAAATAACGTCACGCCACACTAATGCCTGACATCAAAATAATAGCTTTGTTGTCATCTCTTCTCTTCTCTTGAAGCCGAAGCCAAACACAACACAACCCACTCCAAATCGTAGGCCCCAAAGTCACAGGAAAAACACGCCGCTCTCTCACTTTCTCTCTCTCTCTCTCTCTCTCCCCTGAAAAACCCTTCCAGTTCCTTCCTCAGTTCCTATTAGCGGCGAAATCCAAGAGATGAATTGAAAACATCGTTTCGTTTCACTCTCTGTGTATCTCTCTACAGATTTGTGAAGAAGAAGAAGAAGAAATGCCTACGTTCACGGCTGTTGCTTTGGAGACCTTGTTGGAATCGACAGTTCGAGATTCATACAAGAAGCCTTTGAATTCCGGAGATGAACTGAATAACAAGCAGGAAAGAGAGAAGCAGAAGAAGAAGGCTTCGACACCGAATCACATATACATACAGCCTGCTCTGTATGTAACTCCCGAACCTACGCCCATTCCGGAAGTTTCCTCCGGCTCGCTCTCGCCATCTCCGTACGTGGTCAATCATAAACGCCGAGGAGGTAAGGCTGTGAATCGTCGAACCAATGAATTCGAGATTCCAAAGAAGAATGAGAATTTGAATTCGAATTCGAATGTTGGTGAAGAGATAGATGAAGGTGAATTGCGATTTGGAGAAATAGTGGAGGATAATTTTTTAGGTGCGGAGGTGAATGGGGATGGAAATGAGGGGTTTGTGGTGGAGGAAGATGATTTCGTTGATCCGAGGTGTGATTCGTTGAGTGTTGCTAGCTCAAGTGAACTGATTGATTTAGGGAAGCAGAGCTTTGTGTCTAATCCGGGAGAATTCTTCGATGCCGATGAAGGTGAATTTTGGCGTTCTTTACTTGTTCTGCGATGTTTTTCTTCTGCTTCATTATCATTGTTTTATTTTTGATGTTCAAAATGTTCCACTTTCACTCATGCTAGGTTCTGCTGCGGTTCTCTCGTAGCATTTTCACAATTAAATTGATGCCTGATGGACACGATTTTGATGCCGTGTTTTGATAAAGCTTGTCATAATTACTCGTGTCTAAGCATTATGTCAGGTATCTAAAAACGATGAATACTATTTAAAATAGTCTCTCTCTCTCTTTCTGAAATAAGTAGTAGTAGAAAAGGAACATAAAACAATAGTTCTCTCATAATGGATTTCTAACTAAAATACCTAAATTTGTTATTCACAGAAGAAATACCTTATTATCTTAATTTGACAACATTTTCTTCTCAAAATATTTAACTTCACAACATTTAGAACTTGGTTGGAAGGTGTCATATTGTGTGAAAACTGTTGAGAGCCTACTAGTTTGCCTTGAACTTTAAGGATTGTGCAAATGTCCACTTGAAATGACATGAGTGTAACCAACCTATCTTGACATTTGTAAGTAATACCAAAAGTCCCCAAGCTCTAAGAGGCTAGAGTTACTACGGTCGAGGTAAAATGACAATGGAATGAAGGATGATTCACAATCTAGCCACTGCTTCGGCAAAGGCCTTTGACCTCTCACAAATAGGTTCCAAAAGGGTCAAAATGTTTAAGTCGTGATTAAATCAACAACGGATAAAAGGAAAATTATGGTACGTAGATGTTTCATACAATTATGGGTATTAAAATTGAAAAGAGAAAGGAAATTCAATCCCCTCTTCCCGCACCCCAGGAGAAGGGGTGGGGGGAGGAGTTGTAGGCATTTTCTCATTTCTTTTTTCTTGCTGGGCATAAATTTGGAGAGGGATATTAGATTTTTGTAGATTGTAAGGACATCCAGAGCAATTTCCTTTAACCTTTGGGGATTAAAACTTTGCCGATTATTTTGTTTTGGTGGCCTAGAGCAACATCAAGGGAGTTGATGCGATTTGATAAACAGGAGTCAGGAGTAATGGATGGGGCACAATGGAACTTCTCTCCTTTTATAAAGACTGTTGCAGCAGCTTATGAATGGTTCTTTTCTTGTGAAGTACAAGGAGCTATATAAAAGAAAATTCAAATAGTTGCTTATTTGTGGTGGGTTATGTATACCACCATTAAGATCCCTATCCGGATTGTACAATCTTGTGTAGAGAAATCAATCTGAGTCAAATAGTGTAGGATCATAGGATCTTTATCCTAAGTGTGATTTTTATCGATCCATGTTGGGTTTATTTGTCAGGTGCCTTTAGTCATTAAGTTGGTCCAGTTCATGTATATTGCTTTGATACTTAAGGATTCGACATATATGTGATTGTTCCAAATGCTTGTCCGATTTTTAAAAAGTTGTAGTGTGTGAGAAAAGCCACCGAGGAGTCAACAATTTTGCTTTGCCCCACATAGACTTTACATGTTCTTCCTTATCAACAAAGACTCTTCTATGCCTTTCAATGCATATCAACCACCCAAAAGAATGGCCATCACCATACATTTCCGCAGAATCAAAGCTCTACATCTCTTTCCAAAAACATCATGATTAGTTTCGAATAAGAATACACAATCTCTTGTGATTACCCAAATCATACTAAACTCTGGATAAGCTTTATACCACAAACTCAACATCACTGGACAATAGATAAAAAGATGATCCTTTGTAGCGTTTATGAAATTGTGGATGAGGGGAAAGACAAGTAGTCAGTCTTCTCCTTTGTAGCGTTTCACCGGTAGTAATTTTATCATAGCCGCAAGTCTAAGAAAACCTGCGCCATAATGAACACTTTAGCTTTCCAAATCATGACAAGGGGCCCAAAGGGTAAAGAAGAACGATTATCAATCAACATATGGAAAAAAAAATTTATAAGACACTAGAAGAATCTAACACCCACAACCTCTTATCAATAATACCTAACATCAAAGAGATTGGATTAATCAAAGAAAACAAAGAAGAAAATTCCAAAACTTCCCTATTATTCAAGGATCTGAAGAAATTGAAAGTTCACTCTCCCCATCTTAATCTAAATGTTAAGATGAAAAACACTTCAATTCTCTAAGCTTCTTCCCATAAACCCTTAAGACTAAGAACTCACCTATGATATTCTTTTCTCTTCAATACATAGATTTTTTTTTTTATTTAAGTTTTAATCATATCTCTAAGATCTTTGCATTTTTCATATGTACTAGGTTAGGTTTGTTTTACTTGTGTGCCTGGTTTAAGATAACTCGAGTGGGAGAACCGTGTTATGGGTGATCGTATTGCATGGTTCAAAGAGCACTTACGTATGTGATGCAGTCTTTGCCCCCCCCCCCCCCCCTCTCTCTCTCTCTCTTTTAGGATCTTATGATTTGGATCTGATCCTAGGATCCCATACAATTAGCCACCCCCATCAATCCAAGGTAGGTTCCTAAATTTTAAAAACCTTGCATGTACATGGATTGGGTATTATTTGTATTATCATATATTACCATTTTTAACAGTAAAATGTTACCTAAACCACCTCTTTCCTGCAGATGTTTGCTGATTTTGTCTTGGATAGGTGTCTAGCTATGAGCCATTGAAGGCTGGCTGCTCATATAGGCATTGTACGAATCAGGAGATCTAGGCTTGATATTGTTGGTTTCTTATGAAGAGCATTTCTTACAAGTTCTCGAAGAGTGCACCTGCTCAATGTTGGATTATTAGTATCATCATGGCTATGGTGGCTGTAGTAGAGGGAGGGCCTTCTTTATGTAGTGGAATGTGAGTGATTTATGATTAGGCATGGGTGGGTTGAAGTTTTGCTTTATAAATTCTTTTAATGTCATAGTAGCTAGAAATATTTTGAAGTTCTTAGAGAAGAGGTTAAAAGATGACAGAGAGAAGATTGGTTGGATACTGGTTATAAAAGAAGTGGTGTTACTAAAGATTTGGTTGTATGATATTAAGGCCAGCAAGATTTAAGTCAGAGAAGTATTTTATAGAATTTAGCAAGGAACAAGATTGAAGTTAGAAAAAATTAGCTGCAGGCTTTTCATTACCTGGATGACAATTGATTTGGTCATCCAGGAAGCTGGGGACTAATTGTTCTGTAAATTTTATGTGTTTGCATAAATAGATGCATGTACGGTTGTGCAACTTCATATTTTTTTGCCTACATCTTACTAGTTTGTAGTAAGTAGAATTAATCCATTCATAGGAGGACTGAATGTCTCCCATTCATTTGAAAATCAACAAATGGAAATCAGCAAATCTCATCTCATCATATATTCCAATAATTAACCAAAGGGCTGGTAGATGGAGTATCTCCTTTGAAAGGCAAAGTACAGACTGCACACCCTTTTTTGTTTTTCAGCATCCAAAACCACTACTTTTCCTCATAGGAGCATGCCTTATTTTCTTTCTGAGTGCTATACCGCAAACACAAGAGTGTTGCCACTGTACCGATTTAACCCTCTTTCAGATAGTACTGTACTCCTTCCAAGTCCTCAAAACCTCAACCACAGAACCAAACACTAAAAAGAGGAGGAACCACCCAGCCCTTACATTTTCAATACTTTCTTCTCATGTACAAATAAACACCAATTAGGTAGGGACAGAGCCAGGATTTCATGTTAGTGTGGTAGTCTATATAACTTGGTATCATCTGTCAATAAGGCCAAGGATCCTTTTGAATTTTATAACTCTAATTACCACTAACATTCTTTGGTAACTGGGATGTGCAGATTTCTCATCGAGTGGGTCAATTTCAAACTCTAATGGCCCAAGTGTTGATTTAGAACTGCGTGCCATAAGGGTTGGTCTAATGGAGGAGATCGAAAGGCGAAAGGCTGCTGAGGATGCTGTTGCTCAGATGTACAGTCAGTGGCAGAGGATTGGCAATCTTCTATCTCAAGCAGGGTTGTCATTTCCCACATCCTTGTATGCTAGTAGTGGTACACAGCTTGAGATTGGTCCAGTAGAGCAGCTCTCTCAGGAGATTGTTGTTGCTAGGTTTGTTGCTGAAGCAATAGGAAAGGGTCAAGCACGTGCTGAAGCTGAATTGGTTGCAGACGTGATCATTGAATCCAAAGACCAGGAAATCTCTCGGCTACGAGACAGAGTGCAATACTATGAGTCTGTTAATCATGAAATGTCCCAGAGGAATCAGGAAATTATGGGTATGTGCTGTTTATTTTTGGTTCTCTCAAACTTTAAGTTTCAAGGCATCTTCAGAAACATCATAGTCTATCGTTAGTGTTCTGATATCACATCATCTTGTCATAATCAGTTCTGTCCATAAAAATCTTACAACCCTGGCTGTTAATATGCTCTCTCCTCGCACGGATGGTCTTTCTTATCCCTTGATGGTTCTTGGCATTGTATCATATTTTGCATCTTGTGACAATATCTAGTACTAAACTGTACTCCATATACCTCAAAAGAAGTAAACATGGCGATACCTGGTAACATGTAATTCAGTAACTACCTCATAGGTATATGTGCCATTGGGTCGTGATACCACGTGTGTTATGTGCCATGCTATTGGTAGTGATATTATGTATTGGTAACGTACTATCACTGTTACATTGAATATTGATTCCTATAAAACGCATGATTTTAGCTATTAATTATACGATGTTTTACTCCAGGAGAAAGTTGCGAGCACAAGACTGTTTTCTGTAAAAATTAAGATGCCTTCATTTTTCCTATTACAATCCTCTTTAGGCCATACGCTGATTCACAAAAATGTCATCATAAGGAATTGCTAGCGTTAACTTTGGAGTGTTATACATCATTAATTCATTTGTTGAGGTCAAATTATGCAGAGGTTGCACGGAGGCAGCGACAACGGAAGAGGAGTCAGCGCAGGTGGCTATGGGGTTGTGTAGGCTTATCAGTAGTAATTGGGGCATCTGTGATTGCTTATTCGTACCTCCCAGATACGAGTGAACATCATTCATTGCCGGGTGCCAATGAATCATCCAATGCTGCTTCTACCAGTTCATCAGAATCTGCTTATTAGTGAATAATTTATGGCTAATTTGTCGAGCTTCCTAGTGCACTCCGTTGACCTTTTTACCCAGATGTTATCCAGAGCACACGGGTTGAGACTTTAGGGGAGTGATCTGACCACTTGCCTTGAAAATTGTGCTTTGGATATCGTTGTTGGATGAAGTTTGAGAATCAAGATAAGTTTTTGAGGTAGGGATGCTGCTTTTTCGCCCTAAATTCTTTGTTTCTGATATGGTTTAATAGATAAGATAGTGTTTATCCATAATGCTGTGCGTTGAGTGCATAAGCGATCCTATACCAAGTGAATTTCAGACCCATACGGTTATGAATGATTTTTGCTTTTTGCAAACACAACTCTTATACCAAGTGCATTAAGTGATGGGGCGTTGCTTTGCGGTGATATACAATCCGGACCATAAAGCAGGTCTTTGGTTTCTTGGGTGGGTAACGGACATTGCATCTTTTATTGAGTAACTGGATAATCCATGCCTGAAGACACAGTGTAAAATAAATCAACCGTTTAATTGGAAGAAGTGAGAGTGAAGATCCCAGAGAACAGTGATGGAGCAAAAAATATGATCTAGGGTAGATATACTTTAAGTACAAGTTTTACTGTCTTTAATAGATAAAAATAATGTTATATATTTATATTTTTTTATATCGAATTTGATACTTAAAAATTTATTAAACATAAATTAGGTCTGTTTGAAAAAAATTAATAAGATAACATCTATACCTCAAGGATCAGTTATATAATTTATTTCACACAAATAAAAGCAATATGCTATAATTTGTAATCTTCTTATAAATTCTATATTTTACTCATTTTTTATTATATATTCCATAATTTTTGAACCAAATGAGGTTGTAATAAATCATACCAATACTCTAAGGAATCAATTTTAATTTACTAATTTTAAGAAATTTAGTATCAACTTTTTGTTTTTGTTTTTTTGTTCTAGTGCCCAACTTGCATGACCAAATTAATTTTGTTTGTCATAAATCATTACAGTGAGCCCAATTAAGAATATTTAAAAAAATATATAAAACATATATAACTAAAATATATATATATATATATATATATATATATATATATATATATTTTTTTTTTTTTCAAGGTGTCCCCAAGCCCTTCTTGCCCCTCTTCCCTCCGCCACTACCAGAGAGAGAAAGAGTGCAGAATGAAAAAATGAAGGTAAAATTCAATTTAAATGATTTTGAGAGAGATGTTGATGACTATTTAATACGTTTAATTGAGGTTGTCTTAACTTATTGAAATCTATCCTATTTTATATTATAGATAAATCTACGAAATATGATAGAATTGACTTAAAAAAATATTAATTTATATAAATGTAATCAAAATCGAGTCAAATCTAATATAAACTAAAAATCCAATTTATCAAAAAACGTATCTCTAAAATATTTTCTATCAAAAAAAGATCTACAAATATCATTTATAAAATATTATTTTTTAATTAGTATAAGTTATTACAAAATTATTAATTTCTAAGAATATATTAGTGTTGGATTTTCTTAAAAGATTAAAAAAATTAGTCTTGAATTTTTGATTCAAGATATGGGTAAGACATACTAGTTTAAGATAATTAATTAAATAAATAAAATTAAAATTAATTATATTTAATATAAATGTGTTAACCATTACCCTTGTTTTTTTATTTGTTAAATTGAAGAGTTTTTTTTAATCAAAATGTTATCATTGTGTCTAATAAAAATTCAAAATATTATACTACACATATGATATTAATGACAAATTTTATCCATTTAATTATTATGTTAGAGAAAATACTATGTTCCAAAATTAGCCGTAATGGTTGACTGATTGGTGGAGAAAATATTAAGGAAAAAAATGATAATTTCTTAACCGTTACATGAATGAATGAATTTGAGACCGTAGAATATGTTTCAAAATCAGTCATGATTGTTGACCGGTTGGGGAAAAAATATTAAAGAAGTAATTTCTTGATAATTTGATGAATGAATTTGAAGCCGTAGAATGAACTTGTTAAAATCGTCTTATTTTATATTATTCTAATACATAATTGTTCTATTAACGGAGTAAATCGGGTCAATGATTCTGTACGCACAACATTATTGACTTTTACCCTCATGAATAGTATTATTGAATTCAAAGTCCTTGTCCTTTTTGACTACTTGCGGAAGCAGTTTGTTTTTATATACAATGTCACTTTGCTTTTGAAATTATTTGGTAGTATGGGCTTCGTAAGCTTGATGGAGGCACCAGAGATATGCATACCATCGGATGGATCCCAACGAAGGGATGCTACACGGGGACACAGATCCTCGGGGGCACCCCACCAAGGATCCTGTTTTGTTTCACAGGTAAGAGAATCCGAGGTCTTGCCTATTTTGGTTCACAGGTGCAAGAATCCGAGGTCTTCCAGGAAAAAAACATCCCTTGCACATTGATGCTAAGTGGACCTGCACATCATCTGGAAGATTGACCATAGAAGTGTTTCCTTTGCACCTAGTTTTTACAGGGAGGGAGGCCAATCCGCACAAGCCAGAGCATGTTGGTGATTAGTGAGCAGACAACATCGTAAGGCTTAACTCGCTTAAGCTCATGCTTTAACTCAAATCAATGGACCCTTTATCGGATAAGGCAACATCAGTGGTTAGCCTTTGATTCAAGGAAACTGTTAAACATATGTAGCAATTCTCCTAATCAAGTGATTTCACACACACGCACAAGCACCGACGTGCTTCGGAGGATTGCTGATTTTATGATGAATCGGAAGGCAACAAACAACTTAAGCATATATTGCAAGCTTGAAAGACAAGACCATACAAACCACTCTATTGTAAGCCAAGTACACAAAAACAAGTAGACGAGCCTGCAACATTGGCTTTCAACTTTGACACGATACTTAAAATTTTCTGAAATTTCAATAAAAACATCTTAGTTTTGCAAGGAAGGGACAAAGAGCCTCATCACAAAGAGACTTTTTAGACAAAATGAAACCAACCCAAGCGCCTTATTGAGTTCCTAAGGCAAGATCATGCCAAGTATCCCCCTCCACTTGTGGTGTCTCCTGATCTGGAAACCAGAGCAGATATATAATAGGTAAGACAAAAGTTAAGATCAATAAGGACAATTTTTGAAAACGAGGCAGGCAAAAAGCTCGAGTTTTGCGAATTCATCAAGTTCAAGAATAGAACCAAACTATGACATCAAGGTATTATCATCATTTTTTCCAATTTCACAGCAAAGCAAGAGCGGAAATTAAATAAAGTTGCGAGATATACTTTTGTACCCATTTGAACAGTGAAGAGAGTTTGTATCACACATCAAACAAGTAGGGTCATCCAAGTTTATTTTATTGTTAAGAGGTATCCCCATCCATCATCAAGGGATTTTCAGTTGGATGCCTCTAATAGAATACATCGCTCATTATCATATATCTATACTTGCCTCGGTTATTGAATTTTGTTCAATAAGCATGACATGGCAAAATCTAACTTACTCGGCAAAATCTTAATCAAGAAATGGAGGGACAGTATTACACTAGTGTTTGCAAACACAAATAGAACACAAAGTGTTTTCAAGGGCATGTCATCCAGTATAAACAAGAAATGAAAGAGTTTCACAAAAGTAAAAATGAAGACTAATCTTCCCGAAGCCAAAGCTATTGTAGCATTGTTGTTTAGGCTCGCACCTTTACATGGGGAGAGGTTGGGGTTCAAAATTCAGTTAGAAACCAAAAATCAAGAAATACTAATCACTCTAGAATGTATGATCGGCCTAAGGTTCCACTGACAAGCATCACCTAATGTTTCATGTGCTTCATGGAAGTATGGATACAAATAATCTTTGATTACTAGCTAAATCTAACATCTTCAACTTAAGTACTTAATTACTGGATGATGCAGCAGCCTCAATATCTGTGTTGCTTCTTAAAAAATACATATATTGATCCAAACAAGGTCACCCAGTGTGATCAAGCTAAACTAAACCAGAAAAGTTCTCTTAAACAGTCCTCTCAGACACTTCCAATCCCTCCTTATGTATGAATCACTATTTTTCCAATCATATCACAAAACCTTCAGTTCTCGAACAAAAGACGGTAAAGACATACTCTGGCTATCAAGCACTAAAGAATACAACCCTAGGCATCAACCCTAATGTTTTTTCATTTGGATGGTATGATTTTAAAGTATATGAAAGACATACTCGAGTCTTCAGTATCCTCAGTCCGAGAAACCATTACTGGTGGTAATGGAAGATCTGTGAATGTAAAGAAAAAGCAGAGTTTAAACAATTGAGTTGAAATAACAACATATAAAGAAGGATATGAACGAGGGTGTGCTTCAAAAATTGGGAAAACGTGATACCATCATCAGGCAGAGTATCTCTCATCCATTCCTCATCCACAATATCAATAAGAATACCCAGGCTTGGATCCGCCATGCTTACAATCTGGACTTGCAGTCAATTTACTGTCAAAGTACAGAGACAACCTCCGGATTAGTCAATCACAGTGATCTATTTTCTCCAATTGAATGCTCTAGAATTATACTATAATACAGCATAAAATTCACCCTTCTGAGATGACAAACACCTATGAACTTTTTCCTAGGGTTTAAATCCTTGCTTAATTCACACTTATAGAGAGAGGGTAAAGTCCGCCTCTACAATTAAGAAAGCAACAATCACCGAATTTTCGATCGGAAGATTGGAAACAAGAAAGCTCGATCTATCCTGCAGGCTGCAAGTTAACCTGAGAGACAGAGAGGAGCGTTTCCGCTGCGGACCGTCGAACTGGAAAAGACCAGAATGACAGTGGGTCGGGTCGAGAAAAATTGCATTCCGGTCATTTGTGTCCCATTATTAAAAAGGGGTAAATATTGAATTTTGATGGTTTTGGGCCAATCATTATTGATCTTTTTCAAAACTTTGAGTGAGCAAAGTTGTTGACATTTAATTTACGAATAATGCTATTTAAATTTAAAATGTTGACTTAATTAATTACGATCATTAATTTAATTATGAATTTTAATATTTATTAGAATCTCTTACCTATTTAATAATTATAATTGATCAAATTAACATTTTAAATTTAAGTAATATTTTTTTTAATATAAAAGTAATACTAGATCGATTTAAAAAAATGATCAAAAATAAGAATTGTGACGTTACCATAATGAAGAAAAACTAAATTTCAAACACCAGTATTATGATAAAATCGTATCATTTAATCTTTAATTTTTTTTTTTTGGTCAGTGTAATATAATTCATATTTATTTTGTGTGAAATTAGGAATTTAAATGAGTTAGTGATTAGGGTATGCTAGAGTGAATGTCATAAGTGAATGATTTGTCAAAAAAGGAGGCACGAGAAGCAAACTCATAAAGGCTACCTACCTGATTTATCATGAATGCTCACAAGAAAATTTAGAGCATCTTCAATAGTGCACCCTAAAATAGGGAACATTTTTTTTAAATTAGAAAGTATCTTTGATAGAAAGGTAAAATAGATAGTAAAATTTTGTATTCCACTATAATAGGACTCTTTATTCTTATCAATTTATTATTCTATCCTTTGTCTTTTTTAGGAATAAATTTGATTCTCCTCTTTTTTAGCATCAAAATATATTTTATCCTGAATTTCTTAGAAAAAAAATACAAATATACCATTTTTCTGTTTCAAAAAAATATAGTAGAGAGTGAATTTGACTCTCTAAACGTAGAGAGTCAAATTCGACACTTTAGTTTAAAAAGTCTAAATAAAAAATCTATTAGATATGAAATTTTAACGATTAACCCTCTAAAATAGAGAGTTGAGTGAAAATAAAGAACCCATTTACAACTATTTTTTTGCTTCGTCTCTCTTGCTGTTCCCTCCTTTCTCCTTCATACCACATGGGAAGTCCAAGAATTATGGAAAGTTACAAAGACTTCAAAAACAAAGATTAAATGAGTGGTGGTTAGCTAATCTACATTTGAAAGTTGCCAATTTACAGCAGCCCTGCAAGTTTTATAGATGCGTATAGATAGTATGGTCATGTTGAGACACGTAATGAGCTATTACACTGGGTTACAGGGGATGAGAAGGCTGAATCATCAATAAAACATTATGGCATTGTCACAATAATAGTCCCTGGAAATTTTTTCTATTTCAGCTTCATTTTTACTTCAATGACACTAACCCTTGACATTTGCTTAAAAAGCATCAATTTTAAAGTAAGGTCGCCAGCTAAAATAGCATTACAGACAGATAATGTTTGCCAAAAACCTACAAACTAATCAAGAAGCCAAAAATAATACATATTTGGTTGTGGGCGTTGGAAGGCATTGGAGTGAACAGAGAGACGAGAGTTTGAAGCTGCTTATCTGCCATTCTACAGGAGCAATGCACTCAACCTCCCTGGCCTGTTGAAGAGCCCCTGTGCAGAATCAAAACAGTAAAGCACCATTTAGCGGCAGCAGGAGCTTTCACCAATTCACAAGCGATGGCACGAAACCTTGATGAAGCAGGGGACAGAACTAATAGCCTTGCTTGTTGGGGCATTCTGATGCCCTGTGCCCAGCCCTTCCACAGTTGAAACATGCACCTCCAAAGCTCCTGTCAAGCAACATGCAATTGTTATATCATATTTTTGGTGTAATGCTTATCAAAATCGCTGCATCAAATGCCAATAATGAAAACATCCTCCACCTTCTGAGAATGCAAACAAAACGCACAAAATTTGGGACTGTTGTGAGAATGAAAATTCAAACTTGTAACCCTTACTTATCCCATGGGAATGTTGTGTGATTACGCAGTCTAACCTTGCATGCAAAGAGGTTGTTTCCGCAACTCAAACCCCTGACGCTCAGGTCGTAATAAAGTAACCTTACTATTCTACTAAGGCCTGACCTCATACTACTAGACCAAGATACCTGTCCTAAATTTAAAATAAAAAAATGTCAAAGTATGTAAACATGAGCAAAAATACCTGTCCCTACTCCCGAAGGATGGTGACTGGTTGGATCGTCTATCACCAATTAGCCAATCACTCCCACTGCTTCTTGAGTTCCGAGACCAACTATTGTCACTTCTACCCCGACCACCACGCCTGAAGTTATCCCCATCGTTGTCATCATCTGAGAATCGACTACTAAACGGAGTACGGGAGATTCTTGGACCTCTGCGGTCCCTTGAACCTCCTCGTGCATATCTATCTCTGTTTGAAAATCTGCCATAGAGATCACTTGGGGGCCCATCATCTTGCAAAGCAGGCAACTGCATAATACAGATGAACAGTACATAATTTCATAGTACATCCCATCCATCAGCAACTTAATACTGGGACTCTACCATAACAATTAAACGGATAGCATGAATTCATCTATGAATGCACACGAATAATATCCTAGCCAACTCCAGCATGTATGTTGCAACACTGAAGGAGCTATAAAGGAAAGAGTGATCATAATTGAAACTCTTTTATTTCGAACAGTTTAAACTCAACCTTGGTGATTTTGGAAATAGTGTTCCCTGGCGGTATCTGCTTATTTAATAGCTCTTTTGCAATCTCCTCCGGAAGATCAAAAACTGCTCCTTGAACCTGTCATTAAAGAGGTCAACAGTTTGTCTAGAACAAAGAGATCCATCCATGAAGAACACGGAACAAACAAAACATCTGACAATAAAAACACACCCTTTCATCTGCAATTAGGAGTATTTTTCCAACTTCATCAGCAGCAGCAGAATATATATCAGACAGAAGCCCAGTGACTGATCTAGCAGACATGAAACCTCTAGAATAACCAGGATCACGTGTCAGCTGCAATGTCACCCATCCCTGAAATGCAAGTGTGTAAATAGAATTGAACAATCAGTTACCTGCAGCTGCCGAGGGCCACCGACAGGTAAAGAATAAAGAAGATTAGGTAAGCATGCCAAGTAGAACATTGGGCACACTAATTTTGGAGGAAAGCATCAAGGGAGCTTTTCGTGTTTTCTTCTCCTTGTGTGTGCATGACATTACTGTGACTTGGGTTCATTGAGGGGTCGTGTCGGATTGGGTTCTTTTTTTCCCTTCCTTTTTTTGGTTGGGGTGGGGGGAACATTTTCAACTAACAGAAGGCACAAAAACAATCCCACCAGATGATAACTGAGGGATCTGCACGCTGATGAAAGCTGGGGTACAACATAGGTTAGATGGAAAGAGAACAAACAACATTACAGAGCTTCAAGAAACAAATATTGCGAATGGCTTTTAAGTTTTAACATCAATTGGAATAATTATGTACAACTGTGTGCTTTACAAAGTTATTATCCCAGGACAACAGCATGAGTAATAGTGCCTGAAATGTACATGTTTCTACTAATGGCTCTACTCAAAATACTGGGAGGTGGCATGCAGTCATATGTTCAGCAACCAGATAATGATAAGGATTGCAAGGTAAACGTAAGGATTGAGGGGGAAGGAAGAAGGGAAAAAATGTGAGCGATTAAAGTTTACTCGAACAACCTTACATACTTTGTAAAAAGCGTAAGTATTATGGTTAACTCCAGATTCCGGAGTTGATTTTAAAAGAAAGAAAAACATCCAGAGCTTCAGTGGGGTAATGAAGTGATCTTTAGTAGGACGCTGGACTCTATATTCTATAATTTCTCCATATATTACATAACACATAAATTTCATGTTGGATTTCCACACATGCAATTGAAATTTGAGGAAAACATCAACTACAAGAAACTAAATATTTGTGGAACTCAAGTTTGAAACCAGTCGTCCCATTGTTTACCTGCTCATGAGTAATAAGAGAACGAGAAGATGGAGGTTGAGAAAAACCACTCAAGTGTGCTAGTGCAGCGGCAAGAGCATCTATTCCTTTTTCCTCCATCAATTTTTGGGCAGTTGGGGTGAAGTACTCCACAGACTCAGGATGAACTCCACCAAGTGTGGCAACTACTTGCTCAGCTGATGACTCCAAGACCTCAGTGATAGCAGGTGGGCTGATAAATTCAAACTTGCACCCCACATCATGCTCAAGAGATCTTACTGTTCTTCTCTGGCTACTAGTGAACATCAGAAGGGCTGTGCCTTCTTTTCCTGCACGTCCGGTCCGACCAGAACGATGCACAAAAGTCTCTGGATCGTTGGGTAGTTCATAGTGGATGACCTGATGATAAGAAGTAAAAGTAAGTAGTAAAAGGTGGGTTATGTTATTTGACATTGAGGCTTAAAGAGAAAAAATGGAACTGGTCCACCCATGTAAATCCAGACACACAGTTTGATTGAATACCCACCAAATGAAATGGATTTCATATTCAATCAAATGCAACGTAAGCATGCACAAAAGAACACATCAGTGGACAATCATGTATGACAACCATACTCTTCATACCAAACTAAAACCAAGTAAGGCCTTGTCCCAAATGGAGTTGGCTATGTAATATCCTTCTTGCCCATTCTGATTTGTAAAGGACTAAGAGCGCTGTTAAATTACAAGCAACCAATCCTTCTTCACTACCTCACACCACGTAGATTCTGGCCTTTCCCTTTACCTACCAATTTCATTCATTGTGAGATGTCTCTCCTCCTCACTGGATTAATTATTGGTCTGCATTGGCTTGCCCAAAATAGTGAAGATTTTAGCCTGTGTAGCTACCAATAGTACCCACTCTGTTGGTCCCTTCGCCGGACTGGTTCTCTTCAAACTAATGAGTTTATTTTGAGAATCAATAATTCAACCAACGTCCATTCAATATATGGTAGGTTATGTGCTTTATGGGTCAATCCATTTTCAGTAGCCTTATCTCCCTCAGATCTTTGTTTCATCATGAAGAAGACTAAGTCCCATGGATTTATTTTTCAGGAATTACCATCAAAGTCTGCAATCCTTCTAAGAAATGCCAGTACAGGACATACACTAAGAACTAAAAACTTCAACCGACATCAGTTTTAAAGCATTAGTAATACCATGCAAGCATATATAGAAGAAAGTTTTCTCCAGATGGACAAGTGATGAGAAGGTCCAACACATCAAGTGCTAATACAGTTCTGTTTACACTAAAATTTTGGGTGTCAGACATGAAATCAATGCCTTTAATGCTTTATTTTTTCAATGAAATTATAATAAATGGGCATGCCTTTCACTATCTTAGATTTTTTGACCAAATCTTACTTTTTAAACCTCCTTAAAATTGTATCCCTAAACATGCAGATCAAATGGATGAAATTGATATGTTATTTTGCAACATTGTGTTCAAGGACGGAAGCAACTACATCAACTTACCAAATCAACATTAGGGATATCAAGCCCACGAGCTGCGACATCAGTGGCAACAAGAACAGTAAATTTTCCTTGTCTAAATCCATTTAGTGTTCTCTCTCTCTGGTGTTGAGATATGTCACCATGCAGAGCTTCAGAAGTGATGCTGTTCGTTAATACAATTGAGACTTCATCTGCATCTCGTTTTGTCTGTGTAAAAACAATGGTCTTCCCACCCTTTGCATAGACCTGAAAATCACTCCAAAGTTAAGAAACATAAAATATAATGTTTCTTTCACTCGAATAACAAAAATTAAACATTATTTACATAGTATAAATGAGCCCACATATGATAGAATAAATTACTAATGTTTACCGATACAAGATCACTAAGAATGGTCCGCTTTGACGTTGTAGTAGTTGATATGGCATATAGCTTGATCCCCTCTGCCAGCTTTTCTTCTTGGTCACCAACCTGTTGAGAAAGATATGGACAAAAAAGGTAAAATTAGTTTTCCATGAAAAAGACACTGATCCATACATTAATAAGTTAGGCTTCTCAACAAAGCATAAAGCAAAACTATAAGGACAAACAACTTTTAAATAAATGTAAACATGCAATCAGTTCACCAGAAAACATAAGTATCAAGAGAACGAATAAAAAAATGTACCAGGAAAACCACTCCTTCTTAGTAAAACCAAAAGCTTGTTTGGGAATGCAGTCCTATTGATCTCACAACTTGCATTACCGTAAAATGTATTAAAATCTCAATAGAGCACTGAACATCGCAACAAGCAAAGCCAATGTCTCTCCTATTTAGTTGTCAATGAAATTTTGCATATCTTCAACTAAATTGTACGATGAAGATTGAAGGCCGTCGTCCCATGTTGATGACAGGTATCCCAATAATTAATAGTCAAAATGTATCATTGCACACTACACGATAGCCCCTAAATTTTAGGGTAGAATATTGATGTTTAACATTGAAAATTTTAAACCTGTTCACACTAAGGTGTGAAGTTTTTATATGTGTAACATACAGCCTGCTGCTACAATTTCAGCAGTGCTGTCAACTTCTAACCGCTCATCATGCATAAACCTAACAATTTGAATAAACAAGACTGTTGCATACAGGCATCTTTCATAAAACTGATAGAGGACTCTCTCTCCATATTATATTTCATGTGGAAATACAGACAAAAATTATGAATCAACATATATTAAAATCTAATCATTCAGAAAAGAAAGAAACAAGATTCCAAATAACATACCAAATCAATGGTCAAAGGATTGTCCAAATATTTCCTAGCCAACTTCTTTACCCATCCCGGCATGGTTGCTGAAAAAAGCATGCTTTGCCTCTCTGATGGAAGCTTTTGTAGAATCACTTCCACATCCTCCTCAAACCCAACAGCAAGCATTTGATCAGCTTCATCGAGAACCAAATACTGGACTTCCCCCAGTTTGAGGCTGTTGCTGTTGATGAGGTCAATTATTCTCCCTGGGGTTCCAACTACCACATCAACTCCACGTGAAAGAGCATTTTGCTGCGTGTTATAAGAAACTCCTCCATAGACACAAACGGTGTTCAAATATGGTGCAGACTCTTTCATCTCCTTCTCTACTTGCTTTGCTAGCTCCCTAGTTGGTGCAAGGACCAACACCCTTGGAAGCCGTCCCCGCCTTCAAATAAACCAAGAACATGCATTACAATCCTCAAACAATAAAAATTATAGACACTTTAGATGTTATTTACCTCTGAGAACCTCTTTCCTCATCATCTTCGCTAATTCGTTTAAGTATCGGAATCCCAAATGCTAGTGTCTTCCCTGTCCCAGTCTTTGCACGAGCAATTATATCTCGACCTTCCAAAGCTGGTACTAACACAGCTCTCTACACCATTAAAAGAAAATAAGAGCAAAATTTTAACTTCATCTCAGCTGCAAGTCTCTAGACACAGCGGCAAACAATTAAATTTAGAGAGATTTTGGCAACTTAGAGAGAGATTACCCTCAAAGATATTGGATCAAATAATGGCCTCTCAAGAAAAGGAATAAACTGGATTACCCTACCCCCACCCCCCAAAAATATAAGAAGAAGCTTAAAGTATAGGTCTCATCGCGTGTTATGTAAACCACATGACATCGAATATAGAAGAACACACGGTCAAGATAAGAGAGCTTTAGCTGGATATAATGCAGCATTTATTCCAACTCATGATTTCTAATGTGTATTGCACATGAAAAGGCATTGTTTACTCTGTCTGATGTGAAAGTGGCATGGAGAGAAAAGGCTGTCCCATGAAAACTACAGCACACTAGATCAATAAACATCTAAGGTATTCCAAGACAACGAGAAAACTGATTTGACCAAATTATTCTTACCATCTGATATTTTCGGCCTTGTAGATTCCAAAAATAACATTTAGCATAGCAATGTTTGTCAAAGACATACACAGTGTTTGTCCGACTGCCAACTTAATGCATTTTATTGTGAATAAGGATCTGCCATAGTATATTTAACATATTTTCATTTCTTTATGTGTGTCATTACCATTGATATATTTGGGTAATTCTTATCCCACTCTATCCTCTTTTAGTTCATCTACGACATAAAATTCTGGGTATTACTGAAGCCTGATAAATACAAATGATTCTTCTTAAGCTGCCAACGAAGACATACATTATTACAGCTTCCTTCCGGTGACACACACATTCATACTATCTGCAACTTCTCTATGGATTGAGACTGGACAAATACTAAGTATTGAGTGGACAAATACTAAGTATTGAGTAGGGACAAATGAAAAACATACTTGAATAGGGAACAGGTTATTAATCCCTCGACTCTCGAGTGTCTCTGCAAGCTTCTGAGGTAAACCCAGCTTCGAAATAGCCAATTCATCCCGACTACCACTTCCAGACTCCACCACCTCAGCTTCAGATTCATATTCACTATCACTAACATTCAAAGAATCCCTACCAAACCCACCAAGTCCCTTAAACGCCTCTTCACTCAAAACCGAGGAATTTGGGGTCACAACCGCCGAAGCAACAAACGAATTAGCACCACCACCGACCTGTTTGGGACGAAAATGAGTAGAAAAAGTTTTCAACCCATTGAAATGGGACTTTTCGGAGCTAAAAGGAAGAGATAAGGGAGGGGTTGTGAGGGGTCTTTTGGAGAGTTCGAGAGATGGGGTTTGGTATATGGAGGAAACACCGATGAAAGAAGAAGAACAGGCCATCACTTCGGCTGTGGAAGTGGTGGCGGAGAGAAGAAGAGAAAGAGAGGAGGGATTTCGGAGAGAGAAGTAGGGGTACAGAGGCTGAGTGAGAGGGGATAAGGGTGTGAGGTTTATGTAATGTATGGTACTATAAACCTCCACCTCGGTGGCAAGGGTCGCAGAGGATAATTTGAACTGGAATATATTCAGAATGGTGTGTCAATGGGCCGGGTCTAAGCCTGGTCCGGCCTTGTACCAAATTGGTAGTCCTTATTTTTTATGGGTGCAATTCGGGTGGGTTGGAGTCAATTTTAATATGATGATTGCCAAGTTATCATCTTAAAATTTGGCTTAACTAATTCAAGTTGATCAAAGATGGATGGGAGAGAGATCACCAGATGGAGAAAAATAGACAAATGTGAGAGAGAACAAAAATAATATCTAGATTAGATGAAAATCGATGTCTAGTAGGTCTAAGAGTCGCTGATTAACACATGCCTAATAGGTGAAGGAAGGCAATAAAGATCTAAAAGGTAGAGAATAGGTGGAGGCGATTTGAGTGAGAGATGGCAGAGAGAGATCACAGATAGTTAAGGCAATGTGAGATGAGAGAGGCAGATGACAAAAAAAAAAAAAAAACCCTAGTCTATGTGTGTGTGTATATTATATTCTTTAAAAAAATGCCGGGTTGAGCTATATTTATATATTTGGGTTGAGCCCGATTTCATTTATTCAAAGTTGGGTTAGGGTTGTTAGAAACTTGAAACTTTGACACGAGTAATGTTCAAATTCAATTCAGATTGAATTTTTTTGGCCCAAGTCCAACCAAAGTTTTAAGAACCTCAACCCAAGTCCAAATTTTTCTTGGATTAGGTTAGGGTTGGACTCGAGTTATGTAAGACCTCGTACAATAATGAAATAAGGATGATATCATCTTAAGAGTTCTCCTAAGAAAAATAAAATGATGGTAGAAACTTCAAAGCATTGTTGAAAGATTGATCATAAAATTTGATTTTCGCTCGTACTGACTTTCATGTCAAAAGTTTCAGAGGTAACGCCCCGAATTTTCGGACCCCGTTACTTGATTAAATTAATTGATTGATAATAAACCACAAATAAATCTCAGAGTATAGGGCCAAAGCTCTAATTGCCTTAATAAATTTATAATCACAATTTTGATCTCCAAATACCAATAAAATAATCTCCTCAATATAAAAATGAATTTGTTCACCACAAAGTTAAAAATTACATTAAGATTAGTCTGTTTTCGATTCCTCAAAGATCAACTCTGGTCCTTCTCTCTGAGATAATCCTGAAAAAAATATTAAAGGCGGGGAAGTATACAATATGACATGAAATAATATGCTCAACGAGAAAAGAATATAAATGACCAAAGACCAAATAATTCAATCGATAGACGATCATAGATAAAAGAATCCAGAATCCAATTCGATAAATCACATAACTCAATATCTATCAAACATAGCCTCATACTTGGGTCCTCTTGGTGACATGACAAGTGACACTTGAGCATATAAAATTCATACTCATATCGAACCATTACACCCCTCAGGGCTGTAATCACAATCCCACCCCGCAGGGCCATAATCACATTTTACGGCTTTATCCGGGTTAAAACTCAGCACAACCTTCTCGATTTCATCCGCCAGTTCTATCATATGCAGGGTCTTCTCCTCTAGCTAAGAAGAAGGCTTTGAAGTCTTAGCTCTTCTACCCCCAGATGGGGAATTCCTTCCTAAATGAAAGGACCCGGCTAGCCCTATGTTGTAGGGGTGCCATTACTTACCTCAGTTGTCCAGCCGGACTGTTCGTCCTGCCCAATTATGCTTCCAAGTACACTTTTCGTACATGTACCAATTAACCTCAAAGTATTTAGCCTAACGTACACGTACAGGTCAACCGATAACATTAACAGAATTTCACATCAATCAAAATAATCAACAGGAATACAAATTTCAGATAATGAAAGGACACTCTTTGCAAAAAAATTTAAAAGACAGGAGCATATTGTATACTACCCTGTACCTCCAATCCTGCAATAACTTTAATAAATGTAAAATTCGAAATACCGCGAATGACATAATCAAACTTGATAGGGATTTAAAAGAAAATCATTGCTTAATTTTTGACTCCAGGATCTCATAAATTTTTCTTCTATTCCATTTATCTCTCTCTTTCTTTCTCTCACTCCTTCTTCCCCTCTCTCTCTTTCCTTTTTCTCTTTTTGCCGTGCCTGTTGCTTGGCCTGGGACTTGGCTATTTATAGCCAAGATTTACTTGTCCTCCAAGCATTGTTATGGACACTTGTCTATGTAATCTCTCTCCCCTCTTTCTTTTTTTTTCTCCCTACTTGCACGTTTTCAAATCTAAAAGCAATCTAGAATAGGATTGTCCTTTCACAACACACACACACATATATATATATAGATATTTATATGTTCATTCATTACATAATTATGAAATTTGACCTAAATTATAGTCATTTGACTTGTTTTCGCGTGAAGAATATATATTTGAGATCCATTTGTTCTAAAAAAAAATTAAATCTCAATTATATAGAATTATAATTAATGACCTAATTAGCGTGTCAACAATTAATTAATATATGAGTCGTCATAGTTTAAGCATGAGAATGATAGTTAGGAAAATTTTTAAATATTTTTAAGTCAAAATAAGGCAACAATTGAATTCAGAAGGCCGAAAAACTTTGGGAGAGGTGATGTGAGGTGTATTAGAAGTTTGAAAGTATTATGTAGTTAAAACACATTTTGACCATAACTTTTCACTTTGATATTCGGTTGAGCTGATTCTTATGGCTTTGTAAATTAGACTTCTAAAGCTACAAAAGTGTATTTTATGAAATTTTTTGACATCTACCTCTCACTAGTTCAAAATTGGCTTGGAAAATTAGGACATATTATAGAATCTTGGAGTCCATTTGAACGGGAAAGGGTCTAATGGAATGCGCGCCTGACCTGAAAAAACTGAATAGAAAAGTATGAGATATTGCGAATAAGCCTAGTTTGAACGGGAAAGTTATGTTCAAAAGCAAGCACGATTTTCACAACGATTAGATCTGTGCCACCTAAACCGATTTTCACCCCATAAATACTCTAGGTACGTGTTTTAAGGCTATTTAAGTAGTTCTTCAACCCTAGGAAGCCAAGAGGAGTTGGGAGCGAAGAAAAAAGGACGAGATCTTGAAGGATTAACATGTAGGAATTACATATAAATGCATTAAGATCAAATAACTATGAATCAAAGTATATTTTTTTTTCTCATTCTTATTCATTGAGGATTAGGGTTAAGTATATGTATTTTTTTATTTCGATTCCAATATATATGATCTCGCATTATTTTCAATTACATGATTCATTTCTTGAAAAAAATTACATGATGTACAATAAAGTTGTATGATTTTAATCAAAAATCCTAGATGTTGAACACTATCGAATTGAAAATGTTTCTTTGTGATATCTTTCATGTTTTAATCAAATTATTTTTCTATTTTGAAAATCATGGAATTATGAATTGTGGTATATATGGATTTTGTTAAAAAGTATAGTTATTGATTAACCATCAATAATGTCAGTTATTATATTAAATAATTGGTTAATTGCATAATATTTGAGTTTAAGCATGACACATTCTTGGATTTTTCACTTTGATTCTTGTTTTAGTGTTTTTGCGGACAAAATGGATGCTTTAGAGCATTATTGGTCAAACTTGGTAAAGTGGACAATTGAAGAAGGACCAAATTAAACCTAGGAAGGCTTAAATGACAAATTTAAGTGATGGGTCGTGATTTGGACCAGTTTGAATGCAATGTAAAAAGGTCCATACCCATCCCAACGTACAAGAGCACAAAAATCAAGGAAGTTTAAATACATAAGACTGTCCAGACGCAAGTTTCATTGCTCAAATGCAATGATTGCTTGATAAGTATGCTGACAATATTGTGTTGAGATTTTCGAGATGAAAAGTCTAGAAGAACATCCAGACGTAGGTCTCACCGTTTGGATGTAGGCATAAAGTTGTTGATTCCAGAGAATTTCAAATACTTAGACACTAAAAAAGTTGTTTGGACATGATCTTTGAGAAGACGTGGAGACCTCTCCAGACAAAACCCTTAACATCTAGACGTTACTACTTATCTGACTTTTCTAGAGAATTTGAAATGTCTGGACGCGAGTGCCACCGTCCGGTCACGCCATTGAGATCAACTCCGAATTCTAACCTAAAGAAGACTCCTAATAAAAAAGACTTCCTCCCAAAACATGACTTAGCCCTTCTACTATAAATAAAACCTTTCTTCCATTGAGAGGGGTTCCTCCAACTAGTTATTTTACACGTCTTTTTTAGATTTCTTGAGATTTATCATGTCTTGTGAGTAATTCTCCTTGTACGCTTTAGATACGATACATATCTATGATTGGGATTTGAATATTTATGTTATATAATTTTTATAATTAGTCTTTAATGTTAAAACTAAATTTCATAGATTGATTGAATGATTTATTAGCAAAGTTTTATACTCTGTAAAAGTGTTTGATTGTTCATTAACTTGATTGAGTTCCTGTTATGAATAATACTTATGATTCCCTACGAGTCTTATAGAACTAGATCTTCAACTCTTCTTTCAAATCAATAAAATCTATTATTTTTAAAGCCATATTTTTGTTTGACTATCATAATGTTAGAAATCAACTGAGATAGTTATAAATTGAATAATCATAAATATCCGGTGAGCTTGATTTACCATAATAATCATAATAAATTCTTTTAATTTTTTTGCTCTTATTCTTTCAAACAACTTCAATTTTATATCAATTATACTAGTTCTTGATTTACCCACTTCCTAAATTCCTTCAGATTTCTGTAGTACGACCTCAAACTTAACTGAGTTTTATTACACTTAACCATTTGCACTTTGGTGCACCTAATTTGGATCAAGAAAGTTTTTGACGCCGTTGCCGAGGAATTTTAATGATCAATTTGAGAAGACAAAGAAGGGAGAATCCACATTTACCAACGGGCTACTTAGAGATCTCTTTTTTTGGTTAAATTTGTTCCATTCTATAGTTGTCTTGTAGATTTATTGTTTGCCATTATATTTTTATTATTTTTATTTATTTTAGATATTTGTTGCATTTAATTTCTATTTCACTTGCATGTCTAGTAGTGAGACCTCAGACTCCAACCAAGTCGAATTCCTATTTAGAGAGTCAATTGTATCAATTGGTTTATCAAGTCACTCTAATCTAGAGTTAGTCACATTGCCCACTTTTTGGCTTAAGTAGAACGAGTAGTGACATTAATCATTATTCCATACAAGAGGTTAATCAACAGGGCAAAATCCTGAGGGACTATCAACATCTTGCTAGGAGTAGTGTCCCATCCTGTTTCATATTCTCTATCAATGCACAAAACTTCACTGTCAAACCAGGCATGATCCAATTGTTACCTCACACATGAAAAAATTCCAAGTGGCTTGTGGGACTTTTCAAGATAACTTTGAATTAGCCTGCCTCAAGATTTTCCCTTTTCGTGAAAGATAAAGCTAAGATGTGACTAAACTCTTTAAAGTGTCATTCCATACTAGAAAGGCAAGCTCTTTAGAAATATTTTTTCAAGAATTTTTTCCTCTTCACTAGACTACTGCACTTAAACGTCAAATCATGAATTTGTCTATCAAAGAGGGAGAAATATTTTACTAATGTCAAGAAAGATTAAAAGATCTTCTCCAAACTTGCCCCTGCCATGGTTTTGAGAAATTTACATTAGTAGGCTTTTTCTATGATTCTTTCCCTTCTCCCTTGTGTTAATTTATAGAGATGATGTCACAAGGAAAGGTCATAGGGAAAACTCCTAATGAGGTTTTGACTTTTTTTGATACTTTAGCTAAGAGTACTTAGATGTGGGACTCGGCCTCGCCCACCATTTTAGAGACCAAGACCATCACTTTCCAAGGAGGAAGGACATGTTAAAGGAAAAGGATGACCTTGAGGCCAAAATGGTCACCTTGTCCCAAAAGTTAAAGGTTTTAGAGATTAGAAGGGTTAATGAAGTGATTGTTGTGCCTCCCACAAAGCAGGTGTGTGGGATATGTGCTTTGTAGGGACATTTCATGGGATATTGCTCTGTATCCCAATATTGTGTCGGGAAAGGATATGTGCTTTGTTGGAGCAATTCAATGCAACCTCTTATTACAACAAGTCATACTCTAACCCTTATTTTGAGACTTATAACCCAGAGTGGAAAAATCACCCGAACTTCAATTAGAGGAATGCATTGCATCCCCCTATCAATCAATTACCACAAGGACCACGACCACCACAATATCCACCATATCAACCACCTTAGAAACGAAGTCTGGAGGATACTCTTAACTAGTTTATGTAGGTCCAACTGAACTATAATAACCAAAACACTCAGGCCTTCAATGACTTTAAAGCTTAAACTTCACAATTGTGGAGAAACTTATAACACATGAAGCCCGAACATGCATATTAGGCATTTCATATTGTGTCGGGGGTTTATTATATGAATTCTAATTATTGGAAATAAGAGAAATAAAATATGAGTCTCGATAATAAACTTTTGTGTTTAATTTTAGAATTTTAAAGGAAATGTAGGGTGTAATGGGAGATTAAATGTA